ACATCTCTTTCTGTTATCAAAATAGCTCTTTAGCACTAGGCGTCTAGTAAGCGATAGCTATCGCTTACCTAGACAAAGGCCGAAGCACCACAGACACACTTCAAGCACAAACTCGTATTTGTAAATAAATCTAGTTAGAACGGCCTCGGCCAAAGTCTTACATAGCCTCGAGCTCACTAGACTCTAATGGAACAATAATAATAACCCTGACAAGCGGGGTGCACACAAGCGGTTCCTCGATGCCCTTCACCCACGCAAACCCACATGCGCTCACTCCCAGCATTCCCCCACTCACGCACCATGCACATCGAAGCTCTCAAACGCAACCTCCACGTGCTCCCCCACTGCGAAAAGTCCGACCACGGGCCCAACAAAGTCCTTTCCACTGATCTCCAGTGCATCCACAGGCCCCACCTGCGTGCGCTGGCCCTGCACCGCACCCGCTGTTTGGTAGAAAACCTGATACCGTGTTTCCGAGTAGCTGATTGTGAATTCTATGCTCGTGGGCGGCCTTTCCAGAGGAGATGTTTGGCTGCGGTTTATGCCTTTTGCTGTGTTGACGACGTGCAGCGTTAGTGCAGGTGTGGTGGGCGAAGCGGTGTAGGAGAGGGAGAGGAAGCGGTGCTCGTCTTTGTAGACTGCTATGCCTGCTGTTAACTTTGTGGAAGCAGACGGCGGCACGAGCAATGTCGCTGTGCTTGTTCCCTGCATGCGACGCTGGCGCTTCCCGACGAACGAGGGCGAAGCGTTGGCGGAAGCGAGATCATGAGGTGAGGCTGTCAGAGTCACAGCATCGGAAGCGATTTTGTAGTTTTCCAGAACAGGATCATGGATATACAGGAAGTCTGCGTGGGGCGCGGCGGTAAGTTTCTTTGTAGCGTCGACAGGAGGCAGACTCGCATGTTGCAGGAGCATGCTCGCACGGTCAAACTTGAGCCAGCCGTCGGAAGTCCAAGAAGCCTTTGTAAGAAACGTCTCGCGGCCCAATCCATAGAGCTCCTTTTCGCGCATCCGGATGCCCAGACAGACTCCCCACCACTGCCCGTCTTTGGCTTCAAACGCCTCGCAGTGCCCGGTACACTGCACATACTCGTTTGTACCAGCTGCGCTGAGAATCGGGTTCAGAGGACTCGGTTCCCACGGCCCATCCAGGCTCTTGCTACGCGCCATTGTCACGGCGTGACCCTCGTGTGTGCCGCCTTCGGCAATCATCAGGTAGTAGAAGTCATTGCGCAGGTAGATATGCGGTCCTTCCGGGTAGATACCGCCGGTCCCGTGCCAGAGCTGCTTCTCGTCGCTGAGCTTCTTGCCCGTCGCAACGTCGATTTCAAACAGGGTGATTTTGGTCTCTGGTCCAGGCGACTTGGAGCCGCAGAGATACGCCTTTCCCGAGTGTGGGTCAAAGAAGAGACTCGGGTCTATGCCGTCAAAGTCAAAATACACGGGGTCGCTCCACTTGTTGGCGTAAATGTCGGTGCTGGAAATGATAAAGTTCTGCGTCTCGCTTTCTTTTCCATACTCTTTCCCATGGTTCACCACATTCGTGCACACAATGTAGAATGTGCCGTTGTGGTGGCGTAGCGTCGGAGCATACAATCCGCCTGTGGCATACAAGTGGTCGTTGTTGCCGATACCGTGGATGAGGGTAGAGGCCTTGGAGAAACTGAGCTGCGAAGACCGGTTGATGGCGTTGCCTATTTGGTGCCAGTGGACTAGGTCTCGCGACGTGTAAATGGGGAGACCAGGGAATAGGTGGAACGTTGAGTTTACGAGGAAATACGTATCGTCGACTAGCACCAGCGAGGGGTCTGGGGCAAAGCCCGGTATGATTGGATTGATAGGGGATTCAGCGCTCATGGTCGTCGCTATGGCTCGAATATGGAGCTTGTAGGATGAGTGAGCAACTTGACGTTACTAGAGCGGGGTGTGTCGTCATGTCTTATTTCTCGCACCTTGTCTTAATCATCCCGGGTTGCTGGTCGCGGCTGGTTAAGGAAACCGGGTGTATATCGGGTAAATTCAGACAGAGGTGCATGCTCTCGGTGGACCGAAATAGTCAGATAAACCAGACTGAAGCAGCTGCTTACTTTCAGCTGCCTACTACACCAGTACGTACTTTAAATAGCTATACTTGTATTATTTTCTACTTTGAACCTAGAACGCTGTGGACATATTGCAGCATGTAATCTGCTGCGCTAGTTTTTCCGGGGATAGTTGTATGCGAGCATTCCAGATCACTAGGAGACATGACATTGAAGACTATCGAACTTGTCACCTTGTCTCACGATCCCGGCCTTGATGTTCTTGTGCGCTTGTTACCTGCAGCCGCTCACCATATCAACAATGCGTCATCTATATCAAAATCGTAGGTGCTAACCAGTCCCAAGGATGGGAACGTATACCTCCCTTCGTTCCGCTTCAATACTCGTACTCTCTACTTAGTCTATAATATCTTGTATCTCATTTGTCATATGAGTAATTTTGACGTGCTGACGCAGCGGCTTTTACAACGCAGTAGATTACACAGCAGATTATAGCATCATCCTGTATCTTATAACATGCGGAAATATCTTCTATTTAATAACTAGTCTTCGTTTACTAAAAAGAAGGTAGTACGTATGACTAGTACACTGGTAATTTCGCCCGGAATAGCCTAACGCTTAAGCGCGATTGCTTGCCGTACACATCTGTCAATCTTCTTGTTCAACCCCATGTTCCGTTGAATCCAAGGGCCGATTTATGTCATTATACCAAGACCAAAACGACCAATTTGCGGATCGCATGAATCTGACGGAAAGATTATTTCCTCAACCAGTTCACGATACGAGGCGAATATATCCATAGGCGCAATTCGTCTACGCCAACGCGTGGGTATTTAAGAGCAGTAGAATATACTGGTCTTGTATCTGCGTGCACACCCAACATCCAATCGCTACTATTAAAAACACTACCAGCAACCGATTTACCCTTGATCTAAACTTATTATGCGGGGTAAGTTCCTATGCGTACTTAGTGCTTAACAAACCTAACAGCATTCCCAGCTTTCAACTTTGTCCTTGCTCGATGGCATTCACAGCTACTACTCTAGTTGCTCCTGTCGAGCACGCAAGCCCGGAAGTCAAGTCTCCTGACCCTTTCACGTGGAATCCGGGGAACACAGCAGTTGATTGTTTCTTACGCTCGTTTACTTTGTGGAGCACCGCCTTTCTTTCTAGCTGTGTCAATCAGGCCGAGCTCTTGTTAACGAGCACGTGGTGTCTATCTGATAGAAATCCTAATTGAAACACCTGTCTGAGGTGTTGTACTATGATGTATGCATGCTTTTCTATAATATTTATTCTATAACAAGGGCCAGGAGCACCCGCATGCAAGGATCCATTTACACGCGCAGCCGAGACGCAGTGCCCGAGGCTGAGGTGTCTAGGCGCTTTTCTTGGTCGTACTGGTGGGTAGCAAAGTCGCGGCAGTATTGAAGGCTTGCTCGGCTATCAAAGGATCGGAGGTGCATATCGAGTCACATGAAGGAGGATCGCTCCGACGCACCCTTCTCCAAGAAGCCAACACCAACAATGGACCACCTCATTGGCTAGCGGCGCCGTTGATTCTCAACATCTGAGGCACGAGATAATGCATGCGATATTCTTTAGCCTGTTATGCCCCATGGGGTTATCAGCGCTCCCGTGTCGTTCTCCCCCGCATTCGGCTCGGGCTTAGTCGCTTGCTCGAGGATTGGACGGCCCCAGTCCGACGAGGCGGCGCCCAGCACCATCAAGACCGCAGTGCCTTGGTATGACACCCACTACGTCCAAATGCGAAACACCAGAGCTGGACTTCGGAACAAAGCCAGGCAAATGTGCCTTTTTTACCCATCTTGGCTTTCCCATGCAGTTTGCCCCGACAACTACCGTGCGCTTGGGACCATACGAGCGGTGGGCACAGTATGCCTCCATGGCACATGTGCCACGGAGTGGAAAGTATATAGATGGGAGTAGCCGACGAAGCTATCGAGACTGGCTATTGCACTTCATCTCAGCAACGTCGCTATTAGCTAGCCATCATGGGGTTCTCTTTTCGCCCACCCAAGACCACTCAAAAGGTCGTGCCTCTTAAGCCACCAAAGGGCCATTTCTTCTTCGCTGGTCGTGCTTTTAAGCGCGTACCATGGTGGAAGCGGCCTAACCTGCGCCGCCTTTACATCTACATTGTCATTCTTATCCTGACCAACACGGCCAATGGGTTTGACGGAAGCATGATGAATGTTGGTGGCACCAGGCTCGACTCTGACTTATACTGACACCTGCTAGGGTCTGCAATCCCTCTCGTACTGGCAAGACTACTTTGGGGAGCCGCGTGGTGCCATGCTTGGTTTCTTCAATGCATCCATGTCGCTTGGTTCACTCATTGGTCTCTTCTTCACCCCGTACCTAATTGACTGGAAGGGCAGAAAGATCGGCGTATCTATTGGATGCGTCATCATGTTGCTGGCCGTTGCATTACAAACAGGAGCACAGAATATCGGCATGTTCATTGCTGCGAGACTGGTCCTCGGGTTTGGGGACACGATTGTCCTAGGCTCTGCGCCGCTGCTTATTGCTGAAATCTCTCATCCTCAAGATCGTGCTGTCTTGGTCACGCTTTCTGGTGCAAGCTACCACTCTGGCGCTTTTATTGCCTCGTGGGTTACGTATGGCACGCTTCAGATTCAGGTGCGTCGCGGAAAACCCGTATCCACGCTCCATTACTATTTGGATATTATTCTACAGTGGATATCATACTGACGGAAAAAGAGTGACTGGTCTTGGCGGCTACCCTCGCTCCTTCAGGCCATCTGCTCGTTGGTCATTCTCGTCTTTGTTCCTTTTATGCCCGAATCCCCTCGTTGGCTGTGCAACAAAGACCGCCATGAAGAAGCTCTTGCTGTCTTCTCCAAGTGGCATGGCGAAGGCGACGAGAATGACGAATTCATCCAGCTCGAATACGCCGAGGTTCGTACAGCCATCGACTTTGACAAGCAGCAAAACTGTACCAGTTGGGCCGACTTCCTCAAGACCAAGGGTAACCGCAAGCGAATCACCATTATCACTGCTATTGGCTTCTTCAGTCAATGGAGCGGAAATGGATTGATTTCATATTATCTCAAATACGTCATGGACAACGTTGGCTTGACGGATCCCCAGACGCAGCTCGGCATCAACGGCGGCATGAAGACGCTGGCGTTGTGCGAGAATTTCCTTTTCGCCTTTCTTGTAGACAAGCTCGGTCGCCGTCCAATCTACCTCATCTCCACCATCGGCACGTTTGTCATGTTCAACATCTTCACCATCATCTCTGCGCGGTACGACGCTGAGCCGCGGGCACCCCTCGGCAAAGGCTTCATCGTTAGCATTGTAAGTCAAGAAAACTCGCTACTCATACTAAGATAATAGCCCGTTAACCGCCGAGCCAGTTCTTCTACGGCATCTTCTACGACATCAAATCCGGTATCATGGCCGGCTACACGACTGAAATCCTGCCGTACGGGCTCCGCGCAAAGGGATTCACATGGCTCAACTTTTGCGTCACGGCAGCTCTCTTCTTCAACCAGTTTGTCAACGGCATCGCGCTCGACGCAATCCAGTGGAGGTATTATATTTGCTACTGCGTGTTCCTTGCCTTCGAGGTTGGCGTCATCTACTTCTGTATTGTGGAAACGCGATACACGCCCATGGAGGAGATTGCAAAGTTCTTTGATGGCGAAGATGGTATTGATGTTGGTGAGGCGGCCCTGGCAGATATGAAGGAGCGCGGTAATGGGGTTTATGAAAAGGACGGATCAGTTGCGCATATCGAAGAGGTGACGAAGTAGGTTAACCATTGTGTCATGGTTCTGGGCTGTCGAGTTTCTGACCTGGGTTCTGTATGTAGCATATGAATCTCTTGAATTTATCTTTGAACTCCACCAACAAAGATGAGTGTACTGTTCATCCTGATGTGGTAGTCACCATCTTCGGCATAGCGCCTTGGCGTAGGCATCCAAGCTGCAACGTCACATCCTATGTTTTTGTTATCCACTTCTAGCATGCCGCTCTGATAAGTCGGAAACTTGAGAAGATTCAGGCATCTCTGAGGCTGAGTTGGTGAGGCTTTGGGGGCCCAGGCGGCAGATTTGGGGGCCAAAATCACATCCTAATCATCCCAGTTTGACTGCGCTGCATCTTCACTAGAGCATCAACACCGCACCTCAACGACAGCAATAGCAAGTATCCCCCGACCTCTCTCCAACATGTCTGGCATGCTTCGGAATTTCTCGCACGGCCTGTGGGATCAATATCCCATCGGCACTCGACTCGACTCAGCCTTCCTCTCTCGTCGACAGAACCAAGTGTGGTCCGCCATTTCCAACGCAGTCATGCTTTTCTGGTCGCTCTTCTACAACCTGGGACGCATCTGGCCGGTCCTGGCCAAGCCCTTGCTTGTTACTAATGTCAACACGGAGCTTCGCAAACATATACCACCTGGCAGTCGCGCGGCTAAAATAATGTACATAGCTGTTGCCTATCCGCTTGGGTACACGCTTGTTGCAATGGCCCTACTCCTGATAATACCGACTTTTATCGCCGTCATAGTCGTATTGCCGATTTTCGCTGTGCTGGTGCTGGGGCTATGGGCTATATGCGTTGTTGCACTGTTCCTGCTTTGGTTGACACTCTACCGGTATCCGGTTTTCGAACTTATATATCCCAGGCTACGCAGACGGATTCTCCTAAACAACTCTCATGTCTATTCTGGCCTTCCCCGAGATGCCCCAAGCATCCGCATCTTACGGCTGAAACCAGGTACGAAAAGCGAAAAGATCCAGTGCGAATTGATCGAGGGACCGCTGTCGGAATTGCAATTCGAAGCGCTTAGCTACGTTTGGGGGGTCACTATGGTTCCCTACACAATCAGTGTGAACGAAAGGTCGTTTTACGTCACATACAACCTGTATAGTGCTCTTCAAGAATTGCGCTATCCCGACCGTGAACGGCAGCTCTGGATTGATGCCGTATGCATCAATCAAAACGACAATACCGAAAAGAGCTCTCAGGTCCAGATGATGCGAGACATATATGCCAAAGCTTCCAAGGTGGTGGTGTGGCTGGGTAAATCGACTCGCGCCACCAGTCACGCTTTTGAGTTCATAAGGCAATTTGGGATCGCAGATGACGATACAACGGATGTGCTCTGGAATGATCTCATCATACGGCCAAATTGGAAGAAAATACGGGCTGAATACGTTCGCATCTGCTATTGCGAGTGGTGGAGTCGTGCTTGGATCATCCAGGAGGTAGTGGTTGGCCAGCACGTTGTCATGCAGCGCGGATCACACCAGGTTGAATGGGCAGCGGTCCACAAGTTGTTCACCTACAGACCATTTGGGAATGATGAGTTTGGCGATCACGAAGCCCCATGGTTCGTCAAGAACGTGGAAGATCTCCGAAAAGCAGTTGGCAGTGCTGAAGGCCCAGGTATGACACTCGGTGACTTAGTGTGTCGATTCAGATTCCAATCAGCGACATTTGGATCCGACAAGGTATATGCGCTGCTCGGTTTGCTCAGGCCAGACGACCCCTCTCTGATGACCCCTGACTATAGCAAGACACCAGATGATGTGTTTCTGCAGTTTACCGAATCCTACCTACTCCACAACGGAAACCTTGACATTCTCAGTCTGGCGCCTGGGGCCGAGTTGCAAAGCGTAAGTTGGTGTCGCGATTGGCGACTCAACCATGACGGCTCATTCAATGTATGCGGATTGTCGAGTCTACAGCCACCCAGGCTATTTTCATCATCGGAATCTCACCGGCCCGTGTTTGAAGTTGATTCTGAGCGTCGCATCTTATCGCTGCAAGGATACAGGGCTGATGTTGTTGCAAGAACTGGAGATTTCCATAGCAGCTCGAGTACCATGGGCGTCGACTGGGATCTGGTCTTTCGCAGCTGGGAGCGTGTTGCTGGCGAGAATCTCAGCAATGCTGATACTTCTGCTTCAAGAATGTCGTTCAACCGGACTGTCACAGCCGACTGCTGGCAGACGGAGCCGCTGGACTGGAGGAAACGGATCGTGCCTCGGCAGCGGCGTCGGCGCAACGAAGAAGACGCGTACAGGCTTGCGATTGAAGATGCCTGTAGCAACCGCCGTTTCTTCGTCACAACCAAAGGACGATTCGGTCTAGGTCCGTGGAACATGCAAAAGGGCGACGTCGTTGGTATTCTGTTGGGCGGGAAGACGCCCTTTGTACTTCGGGGATGCGGTAGCAAAAGCCTATCCAGGCATAATTCCATGGGTTATCACAGGCTCATTGGCGAGGCTTTCGTGGAGGGCCTAATGTACCGCACCGGAAGCTTGGAAGCCGATAATAATATGGGTCGATTTCACCTGCTGTGATATGTGCAGCCAACCTTCGGCGAATCAGCTGTGAGTATGCATATGCACGAATGGAGGCCAGCCTCTCTGGGAAGACATGGCGGTGGGCGGTTGACTGGGGCGGGCTAGCGACGAGGCGATGAGGCGGCGAGGCAACGCCGCATTCCTTTTATCTACGTACTACTTGTTGCTAAGTAGCCACCCGCCTCGCGACACGCTGATGACAGCCCCAACCGCGTCGTACTCGGCCGACCGTCCAACGCCACTGGCAGAATGCTTCGCGTGCGTAGCACAGTAATCAATCCAATCCTTCAGCGCAGCGCAGGCCCGGCTGCCTGCAAGCACCGAAGCGCAAAAAGCTTGCACGGCCGGTGGCTCCACAAATGCCGATCATCCAAGTCTCCTGCTTCTTCGAGCCTCGACGTTGCACTAGCCACCGCTCCCAACACTATCCACCTTCCTGAACAATGGCTGCTTGCCTGCGCCCTTGATATGCAAGGCCCGGGTAGCTATCGTCGCCGTCATAACTTGTCGCTCGTATAGGTTGGAGCGACTATTACATATACCCCTCGACGGTGCTGCCTGTGTCTTGTCAGTTGGCGCCTCGATACTGTACGCGTTGCCATCATGCGCCTCTCAATCGTGGTTGCGGCGGTCCTTTCTGGCCTCCAGACAGCCTCTGCGGTCAAGCTCTTACCGAAGAGCCTTGTCGAGAGGGAAGAGCATGTAAGTTCATCTTGTTCCCTGTCTCTGCAGCATCGAGCTTGGGCTCCAGCGGAATGTAAACACGGACGATCCTTATTTCTTACAACCCTATCTCCCCCTCGCACCACTCGCTGTCAGATGGGCGTGTTTCCTCCACAACCGCTGGACGCGTAGGTGCCATTTAGTGCTTATTCGCTCGAACCCTGGGCTAAAGCAGGCAAATGACATGGACGAGTCGCGCCCCAAACACGTGATATGCCTAGTAATACAAACAATCTAACCTTGAACCAGTTACAATCCGCACGGAACCCACGAAGCCTGGCCAAACGCGCGGATACTGATCCGTCGTTGCTATACCCTGCACACAACATATCCGTGCCAGTCGACTTCTTTCATAACGAGACGCGTTATGAGCCGCACAGCAATGACTCGTTCAACCTCAGATACTGGTTCGACGACACCTACTACAAGCCAGGGGGCCCGGTCTTTGTTCTCCTGAGCGGAGAAACCAGCGCAGTCGGCCGTCTACCGTTCTTGCAGAAGGGAATCGTGCACCAAGTCATCAAGGCCACGAATGGCTTGGGTGTCATTCTGGAGCACCGCTACTATGGCGAAAGTTTCCCTGTTGCCAATCTCTCGACCGAGAACATGCGCTTCTTGTCAACAGAGCAGGCTCTTGCTGAGGTCGACTATTTTGCCAGGAACGTGAAATTCGAGGGGGTGGATGCCGATCTGACTGCACCGAACACCCCCTGGATCGTCTACGGCGGATCCTATGCCGGAGCCCAGGCTGCATTTCTGCGAGTCGTGTACCCAGAGACCTTCTGGGGTGCCATTTCGTCGTCGGGCGTCACAACCGCCATCTATGACTACTGGGAGTACTTTGAGCCTATCAGAATTTTCGGGCCTCCGGACTGCATCAAGAACACGCAGCTGCTGATTGACGTGGTGGACGGTGTCTTGTTGCGCCAGAATGATACTGCCATGTCTCAGTCTCTCAAGGATGCCTTTGGTCTGGGCGATGTGACGGACAACCGCGATTTTGCCAACCAGTTTACCAGTGGCGTTTATGGCATCCAAAGCACCAGCTGGGACCCGGAAGAGGACTCGCCATCCTTTTTCTATTATTGCAAGAACATGACCAACCCGGAGCCTACTGGCGAAAATCTTCGTCCAACGGTTGCCAAGCTTGCCGCAGCAGCTGGCTATGCCAACGACACAGCAGTGCAGAACATAACCCTGAATGCCATTTCTTGGGTCAACAGCACCATACTTCCGGCCTGGCGTACATCCAACGTGTCTCAGGACTCCTTTTTTACCCAACTCAACGCCACCAGGCTTGAGGAAAACAGGGACCTCAGTGACTATGGCCTAGTCAGCTGGAACTACCAAGTGTGCACTGAATGGGGCTACATTCAGACTGGCAACACGCCCAAAAACATCATGCCACTAATCTCACGTACGCTGGATCTCGAGTACCTCACCTTCTTCTGCCGAGCGCAATTCAACATCCATGAGCCGCCTGAGATTGAACGCGTCAACAAGTACGGCAACTTTGACATTGAGTATGACCGCCTTGCCATTATTGGCGGAAACTCGGATCCATGGAGGCCTGCAACGCCGCTGTGGTACCCAGACAGCCGCAACACATCGACGGAGAAGCCGTGGCTGCTCATTAGCCACGGAGTGCATCACTGGGAGGAAAATGGCATCTTCGAGAACCAGACTACCCCTGAGCTGCCGCCAGCGCAGATTGTCTATGCACAGCAGTACATTAAGAACTTTGTTGCTGACTGGGTTGAGGGTGAGTTATCCATGCCTTGGTCAGAATACGAACAGTGTGCTAACGAGATGCAGAGTTCAAGGCAAAGACAGACCGCTCCGAACTGCGTTGATTGCGGACTGTCAGGCAGAGAGGCTTTTTATGTCGGTCCAGACATGGAGCTGCTGTAAGCATATGGAAGCTAGTGGCTATAATAGAGCTAGTTAAGATATGCACATAACACTAGCTTCACTCCTATAACGTCTGCTCGATTTTAACCTGTTGTTGTACTTGGCTGACCGCCACAGCACGCTGTTGATAAGCTGCTGACGAGTCGAGTGCTGACGCAACGACACTTACGACCGACTACTAAGTATGTTCTTGCAAGTTTAGCGATAGCCTAAGCTTCCGAGGTCCCTGTCGCTTTGAAGCAAAGGGTCCTGCAATCTCTTGCTTTTCACCTAATAGCACACCGTGATTGCGTGACACTTGTGTGCAGACGATTGATTCGCTGCATCCTCGTGTCAGCTTCTCAACTTCCGTCGTCTACTGTCAGAAGGAAAGAGAAGATTCCACAAGCTCGATTGAATTGCCTGTCACTTGTCACTTGTCACGTTTCCGCCGGCGCCGATCGACATACTACACCATGTGCATGCCATGGATCGCCGTGTTTTTTTTTGCCCTTCCCCAGCACATGCGTCCACGTCAGTCGAGCAAAACTCAATAGCCTATTTCTGTTTTTAGAAACAAAAGGGTTGCATACGTACATGCTGCACCCCACGAACATGCCGCCCTCTAACAAGTCCAAGGTCGCAGTCGCACTCGCGTGCAAGACTAGTAAGTAAGCAACATGACGTTGACGTTGTGACTTTTCCCGATTGCAAGTGCCATAGTGATAGCATGCCGCCACCCGATGCCGCCGCTCCCGAAGCCCCCCCCCTCTCACTCCCAGCCTCGTACTGAGCCAACTGTGCGTCTCCACTCGAACAAAGCTTCTTTGTGCCCTTGTAGTCTCATTTTGGGGCTGCACGCCGCTTTCAAATACGAGCTACAGGTGCAGGCGCTACCAAAAGCACGCTATGACGCAACACCAAGACTGCCGACGTCCGACTGTAGTAAATGATGGATGTCGGTGGATACAGATGGGTGTTTCTGCGTACTGCTATTGCTATTGTAGGATGAGGGCGGAGTGGCGCCGCTGCAACATAGCCACTCTGCGCTTTGCTTTTCTTGTTTTCTTTTTCCTTTGCACGCTCGCACGAGGGCAGCTTACGCTTACATACGTACGTAGGGATGGATTGGTTGGAAAAGTTGTGGTTGGGTGTTTCTTCCGGTAAGCCGATGCGTTGTTCGCCTTTACCGTGTTCATGTCCATACATTGCTGTATTATAGTTTCAGAGCAACCGGCAAGTCCGCATGTATGTAGGTATGTATGTATGTATGTATGTATGTATGTACACCCAGGTCTGGCTCGTCGTCGTCGTCGTCGTCGCCGCCGCCACGATACTGGATATAGTCATTCGCCGTCGACAATGCCAAGCAAAGCAAAGGCAAAGAAAGGCATTGCGGCGTGAAGATGCAAACTGCACATAATTCCCATGTACACATGCCTGACCAACGACATAAGCAGCACATGTACTGTAGTGCGGCAAAGGCAGATCATGGGGGCGCAGAGGACCGACTTGGAGCTGGAGCTGCGCCGGCACTCAAATTGGGTGTGATAAGTACTTACTGTAGTTGTATTAGCCATGGTCCAAGCAAGCAATGCAAGGCCAAGGGACGGCAATCAATGCACTCTTTCATCTTTTTTTTTCTCTTTCTATCTTCCCAATTCTTCACATACCTGCACTACAAGCAGCGAAATGCCAGCGTAATACACCAGAATTCCGCAGTAACCCATGATTTGGTCAGCAGCACCCGAATACGAGGAGGAGAAAGGAAACACGGCAGAGGAAAAAAAAAACGAACAAGGGGGGGGGGTGGGGGAAGAGGGGACCTTGCACTTGTTTTCCAGTCGTTACCGAGTGCTCGGACATCCGCCCGTCAGAAGCTTAGGCGAACTGGCTACGTACCCGCCCCACCCCATTTACATACTAGTACACACATACGTCGATACGGGAACCCTGGTATACTGCGTCGGATGTCATGGATGGAAGGCAAGTCAGTTAGATAGTTCTGCGCCCACCAAAAGGAGGCCTAAAAAAAGGGGAGAGTGGCTGAGCGGGGCGGGGGGAGGCGAAAATCCGCTGCAAGGGAGACGACGGTAAGATACTTACATACGTACATAATTACAATACAAGCCATTATTATATAAATGGTCTCTCCCTCTGTCTGCAAGTGCTCGCATTTACCATACAAAACTCAATATCCTGCTTTGCTGTTTGTCCACCACCAGAAACGCTTACTCATCTCACCACCATGCGCTTCCTCTCCACTCTCGTCACGACGCTCGCGTCCGCCTCGGTTGCGTCGGCCGCCATCGCCGGCTTCACCGTGCCCAAGGTGATTGTGGCCGGCGAGCCCTTTACGCTGACGCTCGTCTCGCAAAACATCAGCAACCAAGCCAACCTCGACGTGGCGGTAGCATGGGGCTTCTCCAACGGCACCGGCTTCCTGGGCACCCTGGGCCGCCACTACAACTCGACTGGGCTGGGCTGGCCCCTGAGCAACCGCGGCGGCAACAATATTGACCTCAACGTCACAGCGCCCGAGCAGCTCGACGGCTTCGAGTACACGCCCGGCGCAAACCTGACCCTCACCATTGGCGTCTACTCCATCTACGGTGTCTCGGGCGGCTACAACCTCGTCACTTGGAACAACACCGTCACCGTCGGCGACGAGGTTAGCAGTGAGACGGTTACCAGCTTCAGCAGTCACAATGCTGTCGGGTTCAGCTCATGCAAGTAGTCATCAAACAAAGACGCCGTGTCTGGTGGCGGCGCATCATGCGGAAATGTGAATACATAAAGATGGAATGATAAACAACCATGTATACATAGACTAGATGGTATATATTGCTTTCTCACCCAAATGCAAAAAAAAAGTCGACCAAAGCAAAAAGGTCAAACTCGCAACAACTCGCAACTGTCCAAGTCCGCAAACCTCATGCTTGACCATGACGAAACACACCTCTGACGTCACTGACGCCAATACAAGCTAGCACTAGTCACTGGCTATCTTTGGCACAGTCACAATCACATGTGCATGCATGTCATGTGGAGTGCATCCTAGACCTATTCCCAAAAACACTGAGATCGTCTCATCTATGATATATCATTCTTCTTTACTACTCATAGCTAATAACACGCAATCATTACACCCCCCTCACAACTTGTAATTCTTTCCATACTGCTCCTTTTGACTCTTCGCAGGCCTCCACTCAAAGTGGTGCTTGCCCTCCACCGCCTGCTTAACCTCTGGATCCGAGTCGTCCCTCTTGTCGAACATGTGACTACCAAAGTAGTCGAGCTCCGCCTCGTAAAATGACGTCGGTAGCTCCGTTCCGCTCGCAACCTTGAAGTACTCTAGCGTGGCACTGAGAGCGGGAACCACTTGATCCGTCTCGACTGACTTGGCCATCACCCGCCGAAGCGCCGGGAAACTCTTCTTCACATCCTCGGCAACCCGAGACGACAAGTTGAGGTTGAGCTGCTCCCAAGAAGGCTTCGATTTCAGCACCGGTGCGAGGATTTCATCCGAAATGTAGTCGGCTTGGATGATGCAGCCCGCGCGCCAGATCTGCCACACTTGCGAGTAGTCGATTTCCCAGCCATGCACACGGTCTGCAGTAGCAATGACATTCATGCCTTGGATATAGCTCGCCAGGCAGGCTGCATACGTTGCTTGCCGCACGTCTTCGATAAAAGCCTTTTTGTCCGACACGTTGAGCGCGCTGGGGGGAAATCCGCCGTCGATGACTTTGTTGGCCTTTTCACGGTCGCCACGGAATGCAGACGCGAGGCGGAATCCATGAGACACGTTCAGAGTCAAGGCGGGGACATGCATGTCAATGGCCTGTGTATTGCTCCACACACCAGTCCCCTCTTCACCAGTTACGTCTTGGACCACCTTGTCGAGAACCTGCGAGATGACGAGATCGCCTGCCTCGCGTTTGTGCGAGAGGTCTGCGCCAATGGAAATCAGAAATGTACCCCTCTAACTAGTTGTTAGTGTGCGACGCAAAAGAACCCAATTTGAACATACCAACTCGCCCTCCGAGTTCCACTGTGCAAACACATCACCAATCTCCTCATAGCCCATGCCCATCTTTCGCATGATGCCCCAGGCTTCGCAGATGGCGCTCATCATGCCATGCTCAATGCCATTGTGCATCATCTTGACATAGTGCCCGGCGCCGCCTTTGCCAATGACACCCACGCATGGCTGTTCGTTCTTGTCTTTGGCTGCGACTTTTTGCAAGAGCGGAAGAACTTCCTTGAGGGCAGAAATGTCGCCGCCGGGGCACATGGACGGCCCAGCCCGTGCAGCTTGGTATCCGCCACTGACACCGCAGCCGATGTAACGGATGCCAGTGCCTTTGCATTTCTCCTGCCGGCGCTCGGTATTCTCAAAGTGCTCGTTCCCGCAGTCTAGGATGATGTCGCCAGCGGACAGATGGGGCTCCAAGCCCTCAAGAACCTTGTCACCGACCCCGCCGTGTGGAAGAGAGAAGATGAGCAGACGCGGCGATGACAGTGACGTGCAGAGAGAGGCATAGTCTGCATGCGTTAGGCGCGCCCGTGGTCATCTGGCAAGGCTGACAAACCTTTGTGCTTTTGCACTCTTCCATGGTACCCCTGCTCTTCTGCCTTTTGGATGACAGCGTCCATTGCCTTTTCTGCAGGGTCCGAGAGCGAAACATGGACACCAATCTCAGCAAAGAGCAGGGCCATGCCACCGCCCATGCTGCCGCACCCAATCATGGCAATCTTCTGGGGTCAGCTGGGCGAGTGCGATGGGCATGCATCGACATACATTTGTGAATTGAGACATGGTCGCTGCTATGCCCGTTCCTCTTCAGGCCGTGGAGAACGCAGCGAGATGAGAAGTGAGCAGGCGAGTATAACAAAGTACAGGCCGGTCAGGGAGGAGAAATTGGGCAGGGCTGGGTCCTGGTAGTGCACGTATTTGTCGAGGAACTGAAGCATGTTGGGAGGCGGGTCCGATGTTTGTCATGCAGCGACAACAGTGACGTCGGTGGGGGTGTGTAGCAGCTGTTAGCTCAAAGGTCGAGTGATGTCGAGGGCGGGCGGCCGTCTTATTATAGGCGTTCCGGCGGTGCCGTGGAAGGTGGAGCTGGCAGCCATTGCGGATGCAGGCAGCACGCAGCCATGGGATTCCGGCCTGTTGGCGTATACGCGCACGCGGATTGGAAGGTGGAAGGCTAGCGGACGTTGAGTGGGATGGTGGAATGGGAATGGGAAAGTCGCGCATGCATGGTAAGCAGCCGACTGCCGCTCTACCGCTAGCGCGAGCCGCCTCGGCCAGGCAGCTTTTGGCAATTGGGAAAGCGAAAGCTTCCACGATCCGCTCCACGAACCGCTCCACAGCCCTGTACCCTCTCCCCACCGCCAGCCCTTTCCACTTGCACCGGTTGCTAATCGACTGTAGACCGCCGCCATGGAGGACGACGCCAAGATGGAAATTGACCAGCCCGAGCTGCGCGACGTGCCAGCTGCCGACCCCAAGGCCAGCGACGCGCAGACGGCGGCCGGTGCAACTGCAGTGCGCTCCATCGAGGGCTGGATCATCATTGTGACCAATGTGCACGAGGAGGCGACCGAGGAGGACCTTCAGGACATGTTTGGCGACTTTGGCACCGTTAAGAACCTGCACATGAACCTGGATAGGCGGACGGGCTACGTCAAGGTACGCGCCCACGATGCCCCTGGCCCTGTTTGCGGGCGCCCGAGCTAATGCGGACAGGGCTACGCTCTGATTGAGTATGCCACGCTCGACGAGGCCAAAGCAGCCATCACGGGCGCAAACGGCGAGGAGCTGCTCGAGCAAAAGGTCACTGTCGACTACGCCTTTGTGCGCCCACCGCCTGCCAGCAAGGGGCGTGCACGCGACCACGACAGGAGACAGAGCGGCCGCGGTGCTGCGAGGGCAAGGAGCAGGAGCCCGGGTCGCGGCGACGATATGGACGACGAGTAGTCGGCTGCGTAGCCTCAGCCCGAAGCGCCTCGCGCTTACACTGTACAGCAGCATGGGAGATTGGACGCGTCATTCCGGAGACGCTCAACAGCATCGTACCAGGCGTTGAATAAAAGCTCACCGGCCTGTCTCTCTGATGCAGGCCTGGTATTGACTTGACCAATGTGAGTGCCCCTCTCCCACTTTCTGAGCTTCAAATTAACAAGAGAGCAGGATTGTGTGCTTGCATATGACAAAAGATTGATGTGAACTGCGGTGATGTCGTGAATTGGCTAAGCAACCTGACCAATGCCTCGAATCGGTCCAAGAAACATGCATCTCAACAAAGTCACTACGCTTCCAGCCGAGTCGAGCAGAAGCGCACATGTAGTCGGTAAAACCTGCCTCAAGTACCATGGCCCCACCAAGCTCCATGCTAACCACTTCCAGCCTTTGTATTCCTCTTGCTCTATCTCGGCTGCATGAGTGTGAGAGCAGGACCGGACCTCGGCACGGAACAGCTTGTAATCTGAAAAGACGCAATATTGGAGGCGCTCCTAGTACCATGCCAATCCTGCCTTAGACCCCAAGCCGCTACAGCGGGGCGGACAAGATAGGTGTTTGTTGCGCAAAAGCATGCGAATTAGTTTCTCCGAGCGGCCCGCATTACTCTGCAAGTCTCATGATCTTTCTATATATTAAGTTTAGGGCCATCCCGTAGCTAGCAAGCACATTTTCGTCATTGATTGAAAAAGCCTATACAGCATGTGAAAGCAAAGTGTCAGGTAGTCCTTGACATGAGACTGAGGTGACCTGTCCAACACGCGCGCACGTTCACGTTTGCGTTATCGCCCTACCCTGCCTGGGCCCCCCTCACAATGTCATCATAATGACTGCTCGGCACGAGGGAGGATTCAGCCGCACGTGCACTGCTTTCCCAGCGTAAGCCCAGCATGACCTGTGTGCGGAATGCTCGGAAATGCGAGTGCGAGTCGCTTGAAAATATCAATCGTGATCGCTATGTGTATTTACCGCACTTGAGCCGATCCAATCATTTCGTCTGCGTCTCCAAGGCGTGTCCTGCCAATTTCTTCGGCTCAAGAGAACGGCTGGTATTTGCAATATATCCCAACTAAAACTTCTCGCTAATATATCATCACACCAGGCAAGATGGCCGAGCGGTCTAAGGCGCTAGCTTCAGGTGCTAGTAGAGAAATCTGCGTGGGTTCGAATCCCACTCTTGTCAACATCTTTTTTGGCCCAAGCGATTCTTTTGCTGCTGTAGGGACTGCTTGGAGAGATGCATGGCTGTACCTTTTTGCGATTCCAGATAAGTGGGTCCGTGCGCGGGAAGCAGCAAGCGCGGGGCAAGCGTGGCAGGGTCGCGGCTTGGCGTTATCCTCCACACATGTCGACGTCGAGGCATAGAGTTTGCCATGCATATATCTTTTTCTTTTGCATGCTGGCGCTAGATTGCCCGGGACCACGATACGCCATGCACAGTTGTTGCAATCAGTCGTCGCCCAAGGTCCCATGAGACGACGAGAAAGAGCAAGGCGCTGAAACTGCACGCGCGGGAAGGTGGACTTGGCCAGATCGAATACGCCCACGTCCAGCCGACGGCAGTACGCCTCTTCTGGCCATGACCTCTCCACTCCCCCGCATGAAGCGCTGGCTGGACCTACCTATCCATTCTATGCCTATTCATACCACTGCTGTCTGGCGCCCGCGCAGATCTCCTCAACGAGCGACACGCGTCGCATCGGGCGCTGCATATTGCTGACCATGCGACTCTCTCGTGTCGCGCTGTCTCGGCGACTGCAACTCTGGCTGTCGCTGCTTCTCTTCGTGATCGTGACCGTCTCAGCGGCTAGCAACCCAGGACCGCAAGGTGAGGCTGAGCAATGCGCCTGGCTATGCGCTCTGACTGATACGCCCAGAAACGACTCGGCCGGTCTACGAGCCCGATAACCAGATTGTAGTTGTCTTGCCTCCGCCTGCCGAAGAAGCCTCTCCAGCATGCTCGGGTAATGCGTCAACCAACGCCGCCAGGTACTCTGCCGCAGAGGCCAATATCCTCCATGACCTCCACTCGGCGCTGTCCACAATGCAAGACAGCTACTTCGCCGTGTGGCTTGGAAAGTACACCACCGCGATAGACTGGACCGCGGCCGTAATGTCCACGTATGTCTCGGCGACACTCTCGACGCTCTCACGCTCGCTTTCTTATACGATGCCCGGTACGTTTGACAAGAGCAGGAAACTGGACGTTGAAGCGCAAATGGTGGAGAATGAAATCAACAAGTACTTTGCGCAGACTTCGGCGTACTACTTTGGCGAAGACCACTTTGCCATTAGAATGCAAGCGTATGACGATATTCTCTGGGTGGTACTGGGCTGGCTGGAGGCGTCCATGTTTGTTGAAAGCCATTCCAATAGCCACTATACGGTCAATGGCGTAGTAGACAAGGGCTGGCATGCGAGCCAGTTTGTGCCAGCTTTTGCCCACCGTGCACGCGTGTTCTACGAGTTGGCCGAGAAGGGCTGGGATTGGAGGCTCTGTGGGGGAGGCATGACGTGGAACCCTCGATTGCTACCCTACAAGAATGCCATTACCAACCAGCTCTTCATCTCAGCAAGTATCAGCATGTACCTGCATTTTCCTGGGGATGAAAACTGCTCGCCATTTTTGTCGCAATACGACGCGTCGAGACCACACAGCGAGGAGCTGTACGATGACTGCGATCAAGAAAGGCGAGGCCGTTACGATCCCGTCTATTTGGCCAACGCAGTCAATGGATACGAATGGCTGAAGAGCAGCGACATGACCAACGAGCAGGGCCTGTACGCCGACGGCTTCCACATTGCAGGCTACCGCACAAATCACAGCAAAACGACGTGCGACGAGCGCAACGAAATGGTATACACGTATAACCAAGGCGTAGTGCTCTCCGGACTGCGCGGCCTCTGGGAAGCCACGGGTAAAATCTCGTACCTGGAAGACGGTCACGAGCTAGTCCGGAATGTCATCCGTGCAACAGGCTGGACAACGGATAGTCTTGACTCAACGCCATCGTTTACCACCGCAGCACGCCGCTCGTCTCACGATAACAAGGAATCCCAAGAAGAAAAACGGAAAACATCAAGCCACTGGTCGGGCCTCGGCGCAAACGGCATCCTCACCGAACTCTGCGACCCTTCTGGCCACTGCAACCAAAACGGCCAAACATTCAAGGGCATCTTCTTCCACCACCTAACCGCCTTCTGCAAGCCTCTTCCTACTGTTCCCATGCGAGTAGGCAAAACCCACGCTGCGGGGCGCGAACTAGCAATGCTCCATGCAAACAGCTGCAAAGAATACACTCCGTGGGTGATACGCAACGCGCAGGCCGCACTCGCCACGCGCGACGAAAGAGGCAGATTCGGAAGCTGGTGGGGAGCATTTGATACAAGTTTCATGTCGCAGCGCAGCCATCCCTCTTCATCTCACAACGATGAGCAGCCCCGCGGCAGCGAAAACGCAACGGACTACCGTAACACGGGTCCTCAGAGCGGTCTCTCCAACGACGAGCAGAAAATGTATGTTGATGCTAGGTCTGTAGCGTCTTCTGGTACGGCGGCTGCTACGTATTTCGCATCTATTAGAGATGGCCATGACGATGATGATGGCGACAGTAGCAGTCATGGTCGCACAACTAGACGCAAATCAGCAAAATCGTCAAAACGACACACAGGCGACCTGAACGATCGGGGCCGCGGCCGCACGGTAGAAACCCAGGGCAGCGGTGTTTCGGTCGTGCGCGCCATGTTGATGTTTGTCAAGCGGTCTGCGAGCGAGGGCGATGGTGCTGATGACTGGGATTTGTGAGTCTTTTTCCCCCCTCGTTCTTGAATCAAGAAAATCAAAGATATGACTCGCTTTTATTAACGCGTCTACCCTTTTTTCTTTCTTCTTCCGTCCATGTAGATTTACATTTCCGTCTGTACAATCGCAGTCGCAGTCGCAAATACATACATCCGATGCTTTTCGATACCGCCAGGGACAGCGCGGTAGAGTTATTCTTCTGTTCCTGGTCGCGTTTGTGCTGTTTTCGGGCTTCGTGCTTGTCGAGGGGTTGTAGGCGTCGTGGATGCGGCTGCGGTTTGCATTGGATTCTGCGCATTTTATATGCGTATGCGTATGCATGTGCGGAGAACTGTGCGGGCACGCGGAGAGACAAGGAAGACATGTGCATGCGTAGAATGACAGCAGGGAGATTAAAAGAGAGAGAGAGGGGGGAGAAACAAAGGAGAAATCCAAACAAACGTATTACTAACGTGAAGACGAAGAAAGAATGGAAAAAACAAAAATAAAAAAAATCAGATAGGAAATGAAAATGAAAATGAAAATGGTAGAAATCAAGAATCCGCTAGGTATACCTCTAATATTGCTCAATGTCATTCTTTCTTTAACTCTCCTTCTTCTTTTCAAGATGGAAAAGCAGAGGTATAAGTACCTAAGGGTTTACCCGACTTGAACTTCAACTTGCACTTGCACTTGCACTTGCGTACACATATACATATGTATGTATACATACACATGCACTCTCGTATTCACTGATTCACGCATTACATGATACCCAGCTCGCCAAATCCCTTGAGCACCTCCTTATCCACGCGACTCAGCCACTCATCGTGAAACGCCTGTTCGCCGCCCGCGTGCTGAATGGCCTGCTGCAAATGGTCTCTGACAAAAGCGACAAGATTGATTTGATGCACGGGATCGCTGTAGATGAGTTCGCGCTTGCGAATGTCTTCTGGGGCTTCTGGTTCCGTGGGGTGGTAGGGCTCTGGGGGCCAGTAGAGAGAGCTATCAAAATGTGTTAGTTGGTGAAAAATAAAGTAAGACTAGATATACATACTCTTGCGTCCGATCATCCATGCCGTCGAGCAGTTCGCCGAGCACGTCGGTCCAAACACCTATCAGGGACTGCAGTTTTGCCAACATCCATGGCTGGCCGCCTTCGAGGAAGCGCGTGAGAACAAGACACATGAGTTTCTTGTTTGGAGCATCGCCAATGTTTTCAATGTGACTGAACCATTCTTCTAGCAGCCAATCCAGCGTCTTTTCGAGTCCTTCGCTGGAAAGAGAGGCCAGGGCTTCGAGGAGGACGGGAGGAGATGCAATGCCAATGCGGGCGAGGACGGTAAAGTAATCTGTTTCTACGACGCCATCGACGGCGCGAGAGGGGAGTTCGCGGTATGGACCGTGGGATTGGTGATGTGTCCATGCGCCGTTGAGGCCTTCTAGAACCTTTGCGAAAAAGCCAGTGGATATCAGGTCGCTCGTCAACACCTTGATTGCTTCTTCACCGCCGACGCCTTGCGCGCCACGAATGATGCATGTCACAAGGTGCGTCATGATTCCATTTGCTTCAGGCTTTAGGGTACCAAGCAAGTCAGCGAGTGCTTGGAGGATGGCAGGCCGGAAAGAGTCTGCTAGCACTGCAGAAGGTGCAAGGAGAAGATAGGATTCGGTAATCTCAATGGCTTTGCGCAGGGTATCATTGTCCATGGCAAATAGAGGAAGGAGGTATTGCAGAAGGTTGAGAAGTTCGGGTGGCGTAGGTTCAGGAGCCGATGGCGTTTGCGCAATAATGGATGCCCACAGATCTAGGGCGTCTTCAAGAAGGTAAACTTGGGTTTCGGAGCCAGGCTCAATGGCGCTCTGAATAATGGGTAAGAAGGAGACGTGAAAGGAGCGCGAATCCGCCTTCATGGCATTGGTCAGACGAGCGAGTATGGTGAGGATAGCTTGCTTCATTAGATGTTCATGTCCAGACTGCTCCCACAGTGGAGGTAGGAGTGCAATGATACTGTTGGCGTACGGCGTAATCTGCACCGGTCAGTCTGAGAACACACTATACATGCACTACTTACGTGATGCTCCATTCTCTCGACAATCAGGCTGATGGTATTCAGCAGCGCCATCTTCGTCTCGGGAAGCTCGACCTCTTGCACCAGGGCCATGAGCCTGTCGAGTGTAATCTGCGAGTATGGCAAAAAGGCATCGGCCTTGAACTCCCACTCGTCTGCAACGGCATGGAACTTTCTTCCGGCTGTTATTCGAACAACCTGGTCATTCAACGGGTCGCTCTTGTCGAGGAGATGTTGGAAGATTTGGTAGACTATGGGCTTCTTCTCTTGGGCCATCTTGATGGTGATCCATTGAGAAATGATTATGGCAATTCGACGACGGATGATGTTGAAGCCCGGGGTCTGCTTGGTCGCTTCCACAACCAAGGTGTTTTCCAGAAAAGAGTCAAAGTCGACCTTGTCGTGGAGGATGTCAGCTGCAAGGCCAATGGCTGTGTATACCGAGTCCTTGAACAAGATATCCTCATTCTGGGGAGCTGCAGACGTTAGCCAAGCCCAACTCGCCAGGACGAGTACTCACTCGCGACAGAATAGAAGACTTGGAGTAGAGGCTCGATGATCAAATCTTTGAAATTCTTTGCAAGATCTAAGAACAGCTTTTCGGCACAGGGTCGGATGGCGAACTCCCAGTCCTCTGCGCCTTCTTCCATCTTCTCCCACTCATCGGGCTCCTCCTCCCACATGCGGAGGTCGCTGGGTCGAAAGACGAAAAAGCGCTGGACCAGTGCTGATATCATGTCGCCAACAAGGTCGTCTGTGAAGAAGTTTGTTCGAACCATGTGCGTAGCCTGATTCTTCTCATCTTTTTCCTGCTGATGCTTGAAGCGAAAGGTCTGGGTGGGATAAAAGACCATTTTCACACAGGCACGAATCAACAACAAACCTTTGAGAGCGAGACGCTCGAGAATGGGTGCTTCGTCGTCGGCATCGCCGTCAGTGCCAACCTTGGCCCCTTCTATCGACGTAGATGCCCACTGCTCGCCCACTTTTGAGACCAGGCTCCAGTAATCGCGGGCAAGATCTATCGAGTTGGGCAAAAGAACAAAGTCTGAGGGGTGAGTAGTGGCCATGTTGAGGTGGAGCTTGGCGAGCTGCAGCAGGTGCTTTCCGACCTTTTTCTGGACTTCTGCCGCAAGAGGAGAGTTTTCTGGCGCTACGTACTGTAGGAACTCTCCGAGGTGAGTACGGGTCAGGGTCCAGAAGTCCTGGATGTCCTTGTCCCTGCCTGGAAAGTCATATCCGGCAATGATTAGTCGTCTGATGGTTTTGATAGCCAGCAGACTGTGGTCAATGCTCTCTATTGCGCCGCCCTCGTCATCGCTGCCATTGCGGAAGAAGGACTGCCATGTCTGTACCTTGTTCACGTATATCGCACCCAGAACACTGAAGATTTCGGGAGCCACTGTCTGCAGGCTTTGGCGCGTGCGCAGTAAGCGTCCGGTAGACAGTTCTTTTATGATGTACAAGAGAACGAGGAGCGCGCGTGGGAGCTGCAACGGGTAAGCGTTTGGATCGGTCGAGGAACGGAGGATGTGGAGGAGCTGCTGGAAGAGATCTGGCCTGGTAGTGTGAGATGGTTCAGCCGACAACAGCGACGTCAACTCACCAGTCGCTGGGGAACTCGAAGCGGACAATCTTTGCGACGACCAGGGCGTTTTGGAGGGCCAGGCGGGGATCTGCCTCGTTGACGGCGCTTTCGAGCAGACGCCCCCGGATAGTCGCCTTGTCCTCCTTGCTCACAGCACTGTAGGTGTTAGAGTCTGCTGCCATGTAATTGTGTTTGTGGAGGCGCACTTGGTGGCAGTCTTGCGCCAGTACTTGTCGATGCCGTTTTTCAGTTGGATAATGGCGAGATAGCGCACTTCGAGCGGAAGGGAGCGGTCGAGAAAGACGGCCTGGGCATTTTTTTTAGCCGTGTATTGGCGGTGCATGCTCGTCGGTGCATACCTGGAGGAGAGGGTAGAAGCCCTGCGTCTTCTCCCAGTGCTGCAGCTGCTTTGCGCCGCTCTGGACCTGCGTCTGGTCTGTGGACGAGGCCGAGCGCAGGACGTGGAAGAGGATGCCCTCTGTCAGGGGATTGGCCTCGCCGGGGACCTCGACCTGGAAGGCGGCGCTCATGGTGTGGTGTTGTGCTTGGAGCTACGGCGACGTCGTGGCGGGGTATGTGCGGGCAGGCAGCGAGTCGGGGAGCATGCGCTATGGGCTGGCTGTCACGGTGAGCGGTGAACAGGAAACGAGCCTGCCCACCCAGGCGAGAGGAGAGGCGGGAGAGGAAGTTTGCGGGTGCGGCGTGGTTGGACGAGGGCGACAAATTCCATGTCCATGGCCATGGCGGTCTCTGTTTCTCTCCCCGCGCCCAGCTCGGACCTCCGAGACACAGGCGGGATGCCACCAAGTACTACTGGAGTGCTTGTGTATGCGCATGGGCAAGTGCCAGCGCCATGAGGCACCAGAGAGGGGGGATTGCCCATCGCCCGACACGACGCCATGGCATTGCATGGCTACTCGTCTGCGTAAGGAGGCACATGTAAGTATGCTGGTGCATGGCGCTGCAGCTCGCGTAAAGATGCCGTGTGGTCGGGACGTTTGTCTGTTCGGTCCCCAGCCAACCTCGGCCCATGGCATCCCCATGGCATCTCGCGACCCTCGCCTTCGTATCACGCAACCACCACACGCACATGTCGGCGTCCCCATAACTACGCCTGCTCTGCCCGCCTCCGCCTCTGCCGCCGCCGCCTCCTCCTCCTCCGCCGCCGCCTGCCGCCTCCCAATGCTTCCCGATGCACTCCGCAGACTTCGCCGCCGCCCAGCAACGCATAGCAGCCCGCCGCGCCCAGCGCGCCCTTGAGCACCGCAACCACCATGGCCCGTCTCGCTCCGCCCGCGCCCTATCGCGGCTGCCGTTCCCCCTGAGCTCAGTCTCGTCGGCGGGCTTCACCGTCTGGGACGCGATCAAGGGCCGCTCCGGCACGCGCCCCGAGTTCCGCGTCGGCCAGGTGGATGCCGAGCTGCTCGACGAGGAGCTGCTCACGCTGCTCAAGGACCAGGTCGCCGAGGGCCTCAAGTACTTTGGCTCCCACGTCGCCGACAACTACGCGCCCGAGATCCTGCTGGTCCTGCGCGCCATCCTGTGGAAGCTGAGCATCTGGGACCAGAACGCCAGCTACGGCGCCCACCTGCAGGGCCTGCGCTACACCGACGCCCGCAGCAGTGCCCCCAATCGCCCGCCCCCGAAGCCCTGGCAGAAGATTGCATACGGCGTCGTGACGGTCGGCGGCCGCTATGCCTGGACAAAGTGGGAGGACTACCTCTTGTCCGCGTCCGAGGACTACACGCGGCCCGAGAGCGCGCGCCTCACCTTCATGGGCCGCCTGAGCGAGCTGGCCGGAAACGCCCACGACGTCCTCGGCCTCGCCAGCTTCCTCGTCTTCCTCGTCGACGGCCGCTACCGGACCATTACCGACCGCCTGCTGCGCCTGCGCCTGACGCCCTCGTCGCACTCGACGTCGCGCGAGGTCAGCTTCGAGTACCTCAACCGCCAGCTCGTATGGCACGCCTTTACCGAGTTTCTGCTCTTCCTCCTCCCGCTCGTCGGCATCTCGCGCTGGCGCCGCATCCTCGCCCGCACGCTCAAGAAACTCCGCGCCGCCCTCCTGTCCCTCATGGGCAGATCACCCGCTGCGTCGCATGACAGCGAACAAGCAAACACGGGCGGCGAACTCGGCTTCCTCCCCGAGCGCACATGCGCCATCTGCTACCGCGACCAGAACCCCACGTCGGCCAGCGAAGCCGACATCATGGCCGCGTCGGCCGGCGCCGGCGGCGTCGTCGGCAGCGCCGCAACAGACATTACCAACCCCTACGAAGCCACGTCGTGCGGCTGCATCTACTGCTTCGCCTGCCTCGCCCAGCGCATCGCCAACGAGGAAGGCGAAGGCTGGACCTGTCTGCGCTGCGGCGAAACCATCAAAGAATGCCAGCCCTGGACCGGCGACATCATCCAAGAACAACCACGCACCGCTGTCCACCCGCCATCCTCGCACCCCAACCAAGACCACGACAGGCCCAACACGGCAAAGTCGGTTGGCTTCGCTACCGCCGACACCCCCGCCACCACAACCACAACAAAGTTCACCCCCAACACAGACGACACGGACGACTCGCTCGACGAAAAGGCCTCGCTCCTCCGTGAAATCGACCCCATGCCCGACCACCACCACCAACATGCCCATGGTCTCCTGGACACCTCGCACACACGCGGCCTCAACCTCGGCGAATCCCTCTTCACAGAGAGCTCAGAGTGGGCCCGTGCAAGCGAAGATCGTAGCGATAGCAGTAGCAGTAGTAGTAGTAGCAGCAGTAGCGATGGCAGACATACCAGCGATGACGAGCACAGCGAGGAGTACGACGAGGATGAGGAGGAGGAAGGCGAGGAATTGGAGGCATTATGATGGGATGAATTCCTTTTTTTTTGATCCATTTATTACTCATCTCCTTGTTCTTCTTCTCCTTCTACTACCACTACCACTACCACTACTACTGCACCTTGTTTTTCTTGCGTCTTGATGTCGCGACCTTTGGTCCTTGAATAGACTGTGTGGGCGGATGCATGCATGCATGGCTGGATTGGATGACGAACAAAAAAAATACGTCGACTTGTCTATTTCCTTTTGCTTTTGCTTTTGCTTTTGCTTCTCTCGTTCATTCCCTTTCCCTCCCCCTACGACGACGATAGTACTGCTTTTCATTCGTTGCAATTTTTCTTCCTCTTCTGCTTCTGCTTCACACGTCTTGTATACTAGACCTAGTCAGCGTCACTAATGCATGATACCCTGATTTCAAGCACATGAACCCCATCTTTTTCTCTCTCCCTCTGACAGCACGTCGTCTTGCAAGAAAGAAGAGACAAAATAGGTGCTGCATGTGAACTGAGTATTGCTTCATAATCAGCCACCTTCAATGGCCTTGTCGCGGTGATATATAGTGTAATAACTACCCACAAAATATCCCCGCGTCGTCTTATGATCCTATTGCAAGTATTTCGTAGTCTATGCACATAGACGCATCTTTCACATGGCATGGCATGGCATCAGTCAGCCTGTCTTTTTGCGCCCAGCTTCTCTTCTTGCCAGGCCCCAGACTCCTCCCCCTACCAAGAAACCAACTTTGCACCTTGACCAGTCCTACAATCCACCTCACGTCCGCATAAACTCGGCAAACCTCGGTAACGCCGCCATCTTCTCCTCTGGACTCGTCGTCTCGGCAAAGAAAATAAGTCGCTGGTTCTTGTCCTTTTTGCTCTTCTTTTCCTCCTTGGGCGCCGCCTCCTTGGTAACCTCGTTGATGAGATCGTCGACAGAGTTGGATATGTCGCCGTTTTGGCCAGGAGGAAACGCGCCAGGCGGTGGGGCACCGAAGCCTGGTCGAGGAGGTAGCGCGCCAGGCTGCCCTGGTATGCTGCCTGGTCGTGTAGGTATGGCGGTGTTGACGGGTGAAAAGGGCTGCGGGATGCCTTGGGGTGGGTATGCAGGGGCGCCTGGTGGAAAGCCTGCGGGAGCGCCTGGAGGAGCGCCATAGGGCGGTTGGACGACTGGCGGTGTCTAGTCATCTTGTTAGCCACAATTCCGCTCGCAGACTATGCATATACCTACAGCATTCTGAACAGGCTCCACTGGCGGCGGAAGCACGCCGTTCTTGCGGTCCTCTCTGAACTTGGCGGCCCTCGCCTCAATCTCTTCCAGACTCTCGTTGATCTTGGGCCTCTTGTTCGGCGCTGCCTGCCCATTCACATAGGCGCCACGCATCGGGTTACCTGTTAACCGCGCGCGCTCCTGCTCCTCGGCGAAATGTGCCTGTGTGACTTGCTGGTTGTGCTGCTCTATTATCTCAGCGGGGACACCCTCCATGCCGAAGATCTCCAGCTCGAGCCCTTGGCGCCCCGGGTTGGCATTCTCGACATGTGTGAGGTTCTCCTTGTGGACTTGGTTCATGTGCACCGAGAGACCTGGTCAGCGGTTAGAGGACCGGCATGCGGCGTGTCGCGGGGCGTCGTACCTCCGGCCGTGTTGAGCCGGCGTCCACAGCGGTCGCATTTGAAGTGTTTGGCTTTTTGGTGGGAGATGAGAATCTTGAGGTCGTCAAAGTCGCGCTCGCAGTAGTAACACCATGGTCGCTGCAGGCGGTTAGTGTGTGTGCATCACGTGCAATTTGCAGGGCGTGGCTGACCTCGAGCTTCTGGTTGAGGTCTGGGTACCTCTTGCGCTTCTTCGTCATGGCTGCGGGCGGGCTTGATGGCGTCGGGGACAGCGGCGGTGGTCGCGATCGCGGTCGGGAACGTCGCTGGAGGTGAAGCTCCAGCGCTCGCGAGGCCTGTCGACCGAGCTAGCCTAGTCTAGCGCGTGCGTGGCCCATGCGCAGGCTCGACGACTTTTCTTCGCCGCCTCGCCCTTCTCGCCTCCCCCAACATCACAACGGCACGGCACGGCACGACAGGCTTCAATGGCTTCTAAAGCGAGGCTAAAAAAAACCCCCATCTATGCCAGCCACATCTCCGCTTGGGACGACGCAACCCGCACATCAGCCACTTGGTCTACGACACCTCTACAAGTCCCCCCGGGGAGCATCCCACAGCCTCGCGTCTTGCTTGGCTGTGGTGCATGCGGCTGTACTCCAGTACGTGCATTCTTGGTTGCAAGAGCAAAGAAAAGGTCCTTCATAGTTCACACTACTCGCTCTTCGGAGAAATCCTACGAAGGGTGTGACTCCTTGGCTACCTACATCTCTGCAGCCTCCACCAGAGCCATCAAGCTGAAGTTTACATTGTCTGCTTCGAGCGCCATCATGCTGCGGATGGCGATGAGGCATCTTTCTGCAAGAACATCCTCGTCTGCCGTGAGTTGCCCGAGGTCGATTGGACGCTTCCGGTCTCCGTCGAGCTGGTAGAGGTGGTCATTCTTGCACTTGACAAAGGCAATGTAATGATAATCCACCTCTTCCTCGGCACTGCTCGGCGCTTCCGTGTTCCCCTTGCATGCTACGCTAGCATATGAAGTCTCCAGCTCGGTGCTATTCTCCAATGCTTCAACCAGCTCGTCTACGCTGGAGCTTGTGTTGAGCACTTTGGCAATGACCGAGTCGTTTTCTAGTCGGGTTAGAATGATCTTGCCGGCTAGTCAATGTCTTACTGAGTCTATCCCTCGCCTCTCCATTGCAAACAGTGTGCAGTATTGCATATAGACCGCATGCATTGTTGATTGTTTGTTTGAAAAAGACGACATCCTCACTCTGCTCTGAGCTTTGAAAGCTCTCAAGCAGGGCATCTTCATCCTCGACTTTCTTCTCGTATTCTTCTGTCGTCGGAAATACCAGAATCAGCCCCAATACCGGTCTTGGGACAAGTGCTAGTAATTCCTCATCCAATGAAAACACATCTTCAAACTCCAGCGAGGCCGACAAGCCGAGCTTATGCGCAAGCTCTGTGAATACTTCTGGATTAGACTCGAGCGGAATGAAATGTTTGCTGTAGGTCTGAGCAGTGCTCATATCTCTGTGATACCTCAGAGAGTACTGGAGATAGAACAGAGTGCTGTGATTTGAGGCGCAGAGCTACTGTGCTCAACACCGCACTAGTTTTGATGGCTGCCTGCAGAGCTAGTCACGTGTGCGTTATCAGTCCTGTGTAACAGCCGTCTTTGAATCAACATTTATCAACACTGAACATGACTGAGTTTTAAGTATTACTACCCTCCACCATCGGCTGATCCCTCCCAGACCAAGGAATGCGACGCAGTGTCTCCTAATCACCACATAGAGGTGGATACAGCGGTTGAGTGCCGGACCGTGACAATCTCTAGAAGCAAACGTGTTTCGGATTTGTCCAGCTTTCTGAAGCGGGTGGGGGCTGTGCGACTCTTGAAATGCTCATTCGCCTATTATTGTCAAGAACCATGGTATTGGAAGATTCCCGACTAACCCAGCCAAACACGCACCAATGGAAATCGAGCAATCTGAGAAAATTCAGTGAGCAATGAAGTGAAGGAAAAAACCACTGCCGTTAGGCAGACATGGGTATGATCGTTAACCAGGTGAGAGAAGAGACTGTCGCTCATAGCGCCCTCCCCTTCACCTTGTCCTCTATATGAAGCTATATAAAGCCTCGCCCCTAGATATCATCTACTTTCTCCCCAACGCCACCACCATAACAACAACAAAAAACGAAAAAGACAGGCACATGGTCTCAAGATGTCTGGCGCTTACCCCCCGCATGCAGGGAAGAAGAAAGCCACGTTGACAGCAAATGAGATTCAGACTGAACTCAGCAACGCCGTGAAATCAGCAACTCACACCCGGGCACCGTACAAGAAACAAGCTGTAGTGCTCATCCATTTTGAAGTCGATGATTTACACTGCGATGGCCCCGAGAAAGAACTGGCTGATACCTTTCGGCAATTCTATGGTATCCATAACATTACCCATCTCCTGCTGATGAACAACGACCCAATCCCACACGTTCTTGTTAATGAAACTCTCAATAAGTTGATCAGGCAAGGCAATGCCGCCAAAGACTGCCTGATTATCCTCTACTATTCGGGTCATGGACAGATTGTGGTAGAGCAGTCGGTCTCCAAGCATCAAGGACTGCGATTCCAACTTAAGCTCGCGTAAGTAGCAATTTGCTTTTTGTTTCTCTTCTTATATCATACTAATCAGTTTACAGAGGCGCATACGACAAGGACACAGGGAAGCCTCTCACCCCGCTCCTAGACTGGGAAGTGGCAACTTCCATGCTTCACGGATCACCTTGCCATGTCCTTCACATCATGGACTGCTGTTTCGCAGCCGAGTACATGGATTTAGATGTAGAACTACTAGCTGCTGCAACTGAGGCAGCCGGTTCAGATGTCGGTAGATCCTTCACGAAAGCTCTTGTCCACGAGCTCCGTAGCCTATCTTCTCAGCCGTTCACAATCTCCACTCTTTACCAGAGGCTCATGACGAACCGAAGCGCTCTGAATCTCGATTGCATTCCACTCTACAACAATTGCAATGGTAGAGACTCGATTACCTTGGGAAACGCAGTACACAGGCCCCAGGCTGCGGGTCCACTTCTTAAACCAGATAGCCCACGAATCCTACTCGCCGCAAATGTCAGCCATGATGTCAATATGGCGGATATTCAAAGTTTGAAAGATTGGCTCACTAGCCTCTTGCCTACCTCGATCATGGGAATGGAAATCAAGCTAGAAGGTGCTTGGGATTCGTCATCATCATCATCACTTTTGCTCTTCTCTCTTCCAATCACAGTTTGGGCCCACATCGACCGCACCACTTCGGCATACACCTACGTCGGCGAAGTAACTTCCAACAACAAGTTGCTGCAACAGGCTCCTACTCAGAATCCCGCACTTGCTTTCAGATCCCCACAGGGGCTGGAAACCCGCAAGCCAGGAGAGTCTTCTGCGCAGAACTGAGTGATCTCGCTTCAACCAAGCGGGACAGAACTTGATCTCCAGAACCGTTGCGAATTGTGGTCGCACTTGCATTCACTCTCTCAAGTATGTAATTGTGTGGCAGTATAGTCAATCAAGCGATTGCTGTCTACTACAGACTGTCCACCACTCCATTGTGAATTTCAGTTTTAATTAATCATCTTTCGATAAAAAAAAAACCCCCCAGTTGCAAATGGAATATCTACTAACTTGATACAACTGCAGAGTTTAGTCTAAAGCCGAAATGCGCATATGTACGCTTTGTAAACAGCTGGTGACTAGAAGCGGACGACAAAGTAGTGGCAGCTGGACAGCCCCCGGTTAGCCGTTGCAACGGCAACTATAGTAGATACAGCTGTGGTGGTCGTAGGCAAGAGTGGCAGGCGGAAGTGGCAGGTAGGAGTGATAAACAAGAGTGAGAAGTCAAAGTCAAAAGTAAGAGTAGTAAATCAAATTAGTCGGCTTCAAACTGGTCGATATATACGTATGGATGTAGAGTGATACCCAGATTCAATTGGCGAAAAAGAAAAGAAAATCAAAAGATTAGAAGGCAGTAGTAGTGGTAGGTAGCAACAGGGGTTGGCAGCGAGCGGTGGGTCGCGGTGGTAGGCAGGCCTAAGTAGAGCGGTGCAGTCCACTTGGCGATATATGCCCAAGTCCAAAACTGCACATCTACACGATTGCAATACATTGCATGGAACGACTATAGCCCGCACATACGACCACAGCCAGAGAATTCTACAGGGTCTCGTTAGCTCCCCATATGTCAAGACTTTGTGCGGTAAACTAGTAGTCAGGTGGGTGACCACTGGCGAATCCTTACTGTTGTATGTATTTTTTTTGTTTTTTGCCGCGTTGATTTCTTGCCTTGGAGTTGAACAACTGAGTGCTGGGGTTAGTCGGACCGGATCGGCTAGACCAGACGGTTGGCTGGGCTACTAGCCACTGCCCTAGCCACCCTGCGGCCTTGTCTGCTTGACATCACTGAGTCCACTGCGCAACATTTTTGACTTCCCAGACATCTCCAACATCACTTCTATAGCACAAGCTGCTGATTCCAGAATGTAATTCGCTGAAAATTATAATACACTATGCACATTTTCTTCAGGTTTCATCACCCATATCTCCTGCAAATGCAGTCACCAACACGCAACGCCCATGGTCCGCAAACGCCAAAACGCATGATGAGATTTAAAATGCAACTCTTCGTCGTTAAACCAGTCCCCCCATCGCCTGCCACAATTGTTTACTCAAATTGGTTCTCGCGGTCGACCCATACATCCTCGAGCTCGGCAAAGTTGTGGAAGTGTAGCGGTCGGTGAACGGGGTCGTAAAAGCGGGCTGGTGTGTCGAGGCGCACGTGCACTGGTTTCTTCTCCACCGAGCCGAAGGCGCTGCCCATGAAGCTGTAGTTCCAGATGCCGTTGTCGGGAATGAGGAAGTAGCCGCGAATCTTGTCGGACAGCAGCAACTGGCATTTTTCACCGAAGCTGGTGCTGAAGCCCGCCGGGTTGTCGGACATGGTGTCCTTGTTCTCCGCGCCCCACTTGTAGCCGTTGGGTGTGAGGGCCCAGGCGGCGAGTGAGACGGAACCGGGAGTAAAGGATACAGTCATTGAAACAGTCTTCTTGTCCCAGGTAGCATGCTGATTCATGAGACGAGCGTGCTGAGTGACATCGCTGGCCTGCATGTACGGCGGCTCGTTTCCACTGACAGTGTGAATGATACCCAGAGGCTCCAGGTTGTCCAGGTACTCGTGCTTTGGCAGCTCCTTTGGCAGCTGCACGTCGCGAGTGTTGCCGACTTGAGGGACCATGACAATGGTGCAAATTTCCTTGACTTGGTCGTTGTCAGGCGGCGACCTGCCGTAAAGGTAACCCGCGACCTGAACACGAAGATCGGCAATGGTGATGAATCGCTTAAGCACATTCTTCGGCATGACGTAGGTAAAGTGGCCTTCCTCCTTGACATCTTCAGAGTTGATGTAGATGTTGTTGGCACGAGTGCGCAGGTTGGATGTGGCCACGGCCCTCGTGCGCCACTCCGTCTTCGAGGCAAACGAAGCCTGCTCATACTGCGAAGTTGTCGTGACGACCATCTCCTCACCGTGGATGTTCTGAGTCTTGGTGGTGACGGCAGTCAGCTGCTGTTGCTCTTCCTGTTGCTTGTCGATCTCGGCAGCTTGTTGACGTTGCATCGAAGGAGCTGAAATCTCCATACCCAAGATGATATCGCGCACTTCACTGCTAGTAAGCGACGACGTGTTGACATTGTTCTTCTTTCCGTAGTCGAGCAAGATGAGATCTCGGAGTTGGACTTCAACCTTGATCCAGTCCTCATCTGTCAGAGAAGGCCAAATGTGATGCTCTTGGGTGATGACAGTCTTGTCAGGACGCAGGAGCAGCTTGGTCTTGTCCTGGTTGACGTGGAGCGCACGTAGGATCAGGATCAATCTCGAGAAAGCAGTGTATGAGGAGATTGTCTTCAACCACTCGTCGTACAGGTTGAAAAGCACCATCTGAGGTCCTGTGGCTCGCAGAATCATGTCACCAAGCTTCTCCACCTTCATCGCAGCCTGGAAGGGTAGCTGCAACTCTGACGCGCGAATGGAAATGTTGGGAAAGTCGAGCAGGTGCACTTCGAGAGGATCAAGCAGGCCCTTACGAGTGACAATCAGTTGCTTTGGTTGTTCTTCGACAGGCAATGATCGAATGAGAGCCGCCACTTCTTCGGCAGTCTTCCACTTGGCTAGCTGACCAAGACGCTTCTGGCCGGCCCAGACACTTGTGTGGATAATCTTCAAGAACAGCTGACCAGTTCGGGGGTTGAAGATGAAGATGGCACCGTTGATGGGCTTAGTCGTCAAGTTACCCTCAAAAGTCTTGTGGATCGTCACACGGTAAACGTTGGTGTCGTCAATGAAAAGCTGAATCTGGTTGCTGAACAGTTCCGAGTAATTCTGGGAGTTGAGGAACTCCTGAGAGCTCTCAGAGGCGTACAGCTGAAGACCCTTCCTGATACGCTCGCGGAGAACGTAGAGAGCTGGGTTGGCCTTCATGATCTTCGCCATGGCTTGCTGGATCAGCTGTTTAAGACCAGGGAAGTACTGTCCGTAGGCAGAGTAGAGGTTGTATGCCAGATCAATGCCAATCATGAGACCAGTGGCAGATGGATAGATACTCATGCTGTCTTGAGTGTAGTCGAGGTACTTGGCGCGCACATATCGTTCAATGTCGTGAGAATCATAGTCACCATATCGCAGCTGAACATCAATCCAGAATTTGTTGGTAGTGGTTGCAGTCATCGTGTCCTTGGTGTCGTACAACATGGATGGTGGCGAGACACTCCACTTGTGGCTGGCAAAGAGGAGAATGTCGGCGCAAGAGCTGTTCATCTTGTATGACTTACGAGGATGAATCGTCTCCTTTTGGACAGTCTCGATACCCAGCGCCTCAAGTTCCTGATCAAAGACTTGACACAGATCCATAACGACCGACTCGTGAATCTTCTGCCACAAATGGGCTCGGAAGATCTGAATAAGCGAAATCTTGAGGGTTGGAATCTTACCGTGCAAGAAGATGCCCGTAAGATCAAGTTGGACCTGGAAACCTACGTAGACGTTTGCACGGTTGATTGTAGGAGACCACCATAGCGTGAATCGACGATTGGGAATCTGGTTGAGACCGGAACGTTGGGCGTTGGTAAGCTTCTTGAACTTCATACTCTCTTCGAAACCACTGTTGTGAAGTACGAGGTGGTCGTGTCGCAGATACAGTTGGTCCTTATCAACCTTGAATCCGGACCAACTAGTGGATGAGGATTCGAGAGTAATTTGCTTGACCACGAAGCTGTGCAGCTGAGAAGCGGAAGATTCAGGGCTGCTCTTGCGGGTAAACATCCGGTGTTTCGACTGTTCGGCTTGGTCGAGAGCTGCAAAATCCTGGGCAGTCATCTCCACGGTGTTGAGACAATCGTACGCCAAGACTTCTGTCTCGTGTGACTTGTCGGAAGACTCCTCACGGTGGAACACAAGGATATGGTTTCTGGTAACGACCAGATCCTCCATGCTTCCTCCCATCTTGATGCGGTACAAAGGCTCAGTACCGTTGACAATGTTGTAGGCGCGACGAGCCTTTCCATCAGGACCCAGCAGCAGATCACCTTCTTTGACATCCTCTACTAGTACCTCGCTACCGTCGTATCGAAGTAGTCTAGTACCATTGGCAAGACAGGCCTTCTCCCAGAAAAGTCCTTCCCAGGATGGGAATGCCGTGGCCTTGAAAAGTGTATGTTCCAAAATGGTCTCCACACCACCCAAAGCCTGGATGACGTCAGTTCTGTAACTGTTCAAATTCCACAATTTGCCGTCGTGTCGCTGGCTTGTCCACCAGAAAGGATTGCTCTTCATGTGTTGGTAAATCTTGAACTCGGTCCGGGCACGGAAACCCTTATCAAAACTGAGCGTACTACGGTCTTTCTGGAACAGCGTGTTGATACGGGGCAGACCACGGTCCCAGCTATCCTCCAAGTCCTCAAGAGTCAGACGTCGGTTTTGCTGTTGAGCCTCTTGGCGCTTCTGCGAGTACTCCATCCATACACGCTGCGAGTCGACAAACTCAGACTCCCATGGGATGATGTACCGGAAAATGTTGGGAATAAGAGTCTCCTCGTCGTGCGACATACCGGCACGGTAATGCGTAACACCAGTGTCGGTTTGTTTAGACCATCGCTTGTCGCTTGTCGGGATGAGGATGTGAGATCCGGAAATCATACCAAGACCACCAAGCTCCTTGGGCGTGTAGAACACGGCAGGAGGGAAACGAGACGGCATCTTGGAGTTCAGGCCAATCTTGACACGGGTCTGAATCTTGGTCTCGCACTTGACAATAGTATCAAGCAGGTTGACCGTGGACACCGCCGCTTCACGGTAGTATGTGAACAGCGCAATGAGAGTCGTGTTCCACTTGTTGGCAATCTTGGTAAAGGTTGTCGATCCAGAAGACATCAAAATTTGTCGGATGCGGTTGTTGAATTTCTGAATGTCTTCCTCCGTCACTTGCAAGAACGCGTCGGCTGTGCGCTCCTTTGTAGAATTGTCCACAAGAGACCAGACACTGTCTTTGACAGGGAACTCGCCAGTCAAGTTTCGGATCTTGGGCAAGATACGCACTTCGAAACCGTTCATGGAGAAGAGCAGGTTGGGGTTGTCGCGACTGTAGACACTGGCAAAAGTGTCATCCCACTCAATCGTCGTCACCGAACGCGGCAGTCGGTTCTTGAGGTCCCAGAAGACTGCACGACCAAGATTGACGTCGTGGCGCATCAATCGCATCCTCGAATCACGTGGCCAGCATTTCTTGTTCTTGTACCCAATAACGTTCTCAAAGTTGGGATCAGGGTTCTCCGTCAAGAATCGCTGAATCAGGTCTCGTGACTCCTCGGCTGTGAATCTGAAAAAGACCCAGATGCGGTCAATGTACCTTGTGTACAGTCGAATGGGGTGACGGACCTCGGTCTCGCGATCCTTGAACTGCAAAAAGTCGTTGGGGCTCTCAGGGGCACCAGCAATCTCGTTTGCGCGCTGCAGACCCAACAGCAAAATGTCCAGGACGAGACCGTAGTACTGGAATACGAAGCCAGAGAACTGCAGACCACGGATCATACCATAAGCATTGACGTGGTTCATGTCCTTGTAGTTGAGCTGGACGTTGTTCTTGGCTGTGATGTAGTCTGCCAGGTTGTGGTCCATGATGAGGCGCAACAGACGGTTCAGCATGGTCAAATCAATCTTCTCGTAGACCTTGGAAAGCTGGGTCTCAATCATGACGTTGCATTCGCCATCCTTGGTCTCCCAGACTTGATCTAGGTTGTTGATTCCCTGGGCCCATTTGTACGTCAAGAGAGGCGGCACCTCGGAGTCTGAAGGCTTGATCCAAGCCGGGAATAGGTGTCGCTGGTCGGCCTGGTACCACAGGTATTGATCGAGGTATGCATCCGTAATCTTCTCCATTGGCTCAATGTCGTACACTGGGTTAATGCTGCTGTAGTTGTCGTTCATGTCGATGCCAACCTCCTTAAACGCACGCTGTGTAAGCAAGAAGCGCTTAATCCTAGCCAGCGTTGTTCCAGGAGAGTCGTAAGCCTGCTCAATGAGCGCAAGCTCTTCACGCTGGCTCTGGTTGAGACGGCCCTTGACAGAGTAGGCTTCCCTAAGACGTTCCAACGCTAGGATGAGAATCTTGGTGTCGTGTTTGTACGAGACACTGGGGAACGGAATCGGTTGGAACTTTCTGGCTTCCAGCCAGTGCACCATGGTCGTGTAGATGGCAACAGCCTCCTCAGAAGAGACATAAGGACCATCCTTCATGTAGTTGTGCTGGCGCTCCTGTTCTGCCTTGAGCCACAGACGAGTCAACCGTCCCAGGTTCTTCTTAGCGACAGTCTTGTCCACAGTGGCACCTCGTCGAATACGCTCACGGTTGTAGTGGGCAACCGAGATCCACCAATCAGCCTTGCTCTTGACGTAGCGCAAAATAATGTTCTCAATGGGTGCGGGCAGACCAGGAACCTTCCACGGAATGTTACTCTTCCAGCAGCGCCATGCTTCTGACAGGTGCTGCAACACAGTGTTGACCTTGTTCTGCTTGATACCCTCGGGCATCATGTCCATGAGATCGCTCATGACGGCAGCACGAAGCTCCAAATCAAAGTGAGATTCTACTCGCTGCTTGGTGACCGTCTTTGCAACACCCTTGCTGTGTCTGCCCTCGAATTGACGTGAGAGCAAGTTGCCGAGCCAGCGCTCAAGAAGAGGGATAATGCCTCGCATGAAGAACAGCCACACTCTCCAGGCAGGAGCCCAGAAACCGCAACCAGGACCCTTGCCGACGGGGCCAGAGTTGAATCGGTAGTAGATCAAATGCTTGAGATCCTTGCAGGAACGAATCTGGTGCATCAGCTTGTACTTGTACCGGTACATACCGGTCAATTGACCAACGTGGTTGAAGGCGTAGAGGATACCATCAGCAAGCTGGAAGGCGTCAATGTTGCCTAGGCGGTACTGCACCTGGGCATCAACAATAAGCTTTGTTAACCTCAGAATTTCACGCATCAGATGGAAAGCATTTCCGAAACGCGACTTCTTTCTTTCCTTGGTGGTAAGAGTCTTGACAGGCTTCAAGTTGAAGTTGTAGTCAAGATGCAGGTAAGTCAAGTTCTTGCGATGGATGAGCAGGTTCAGCATGTTGTAACCTTGACGGCAAACTTGCAGACCAGCCTCAACCCAGTCAATCTTGGTCTGTTGGAAGAACTTGGTGCCCTTCAACGTCCTCATCAGATTCTGCCTGTTCTGTGCCTGAGGTGGCTTCTTGTGCAGCTCATTCAGAACATAGGTTTTTAGCAGCTTTTGGTACGAGACCCGAACCTTGACTGGCTGACCGGCTGGTACGTGCTCGAGGTACCATTGCTTAACCAGAGGAACATCCTGTGCCCTAACCATGCGACCGGAGCGCTTGTCGAATGGGTGGGGTGCCCACCAAAGGGCAATAGCGGAAGCAGTCTCTGGTGTTGAAATCTCCTCATCAGCCATGAACGGCTCCATGTCTTCTGGCATCTGGAAGTCGTCCTCATCATCTTCGTCGGCATCCCCGAAGACGGTGTCCTCATGGCTCACAGAAAGATTCTTGGGAGCAACGGCTCTTGAAGAGATGGGGTTAATTCCAGGATCGAAATAGAATGCTGGAAGATCGGGGTCTTCTGCACGGACATAGACGACCTGTGGGTAGGAGTACCAAGCCAGCTTGACACTTCGGGGCAGCGAGTTGTAAAGGTATGGGTATGACACACGGTATTCAGTACGGATAGGAGATCGGAAGATAATGCGGTCGATGGCGTTGAACTCGCCAAAGTCTTCATCATTAGGGTCAATGTCCTTGTACAGGGGCTCAAAGCGAGGCCCTCCAGGAATCGCAACATTGAGTGCTTTTGCAGTCTGGAAGCTGTTGATGTCGAACATGTGGAAATAGTTCTTGTCTACAATGTCACTGAGAAGCTGCTTGCTCAGACGGTACAGAGTCGCCATCTGAGGAAGATCGAGATTCCAGGTCTCGTAGCTGGGCCCGTTGACATGTGGGGTATCGAGAAGGGGGCGATGGTCGTAGAACCACTCGTATACTGGGCTGTCCTCATCTTCGTCGAGTTCCAGCTGGATGGGTTCCAAAGGCTCCACATCCTCAATGTTCTCCGAGTACGACAGTGGGGGCTCTTCGTCGTCAAAAGGTGGGAAGCGCATTCGCTTGAAATGGCGACGGTCGCTCTTCTCTTTCCTCATGGCCAGCCACATGGCGGCCCATTGCGCGTGGAAAATGGGCTCAATTACACGCGGTACTTCGTTGACCAGCGTCAGGCATCCGTTGGTGTGGTAGAGGACTTTTACGTCGCGTCTACTTTCCCAAGGCATGGGCATGTTTTCTAGGAGCTTCAGAACAGCGTGTGGCATGAACTTGAGTGCACCAAGATAGCTTCGCTTGTCCGAGGTAAACTTCTTCTGAGACACATCGCCAATATCTCTAAAGACCTTGCGCAAGTGCTCTGGAGGAAGATCCGCCTTTTGCGTCTCGACAAATCCAGCCTTGCGCTTTTCACCAAATCTCTGACGCTGTTGCCGTAACCAGTCCTTCTTCTTCTGTGCGAACTTGGCGATTTGTGGATCGACTGGTGGGCGCATACCGGGGGGGCCAACAGTACCAGGCGGGCCTGGCGGGCCTGGAGGCGGAGGCGGTGGCGGCGGCGGCGGCGCATATCCGGAGCCTGGAGGGCCTGGGGGAGGACCACCTGGCGGAGGGGGCGGCGGAGGGGGTGGAGGAAAATCCATCTTTATTACTATAGAAAGGGGAAGAAGGCTACTGCCGTCAGAAAGAGCTTCGACACGCGAGTAGAACGGATTTGCGCCGCGGGTGTCGGGGGTCCAAAGGATGGTAACTGGAGGTTGCCCACGAGCTCCTCAATATGTCTGGCGAATACGGAAAACGAGGAGGCAGGAGTTTGCCGATCTTTGGGATGCGACCCCGATGCTGTACTGCACTACAAGAGTCGGCTGGGCGCAGGTGGTCGCGACAAGCTTAGGAGCCTAGTCCTGAGCTTTGCGGACGGCGCCGCGGTCGAAGAAGGCGAAAGTCGCGTCGGCGCGCACGTTCCACGACAATCCCCAATGGCTCAAAGGTCGAAAGAGTGACGGCGCACACAATGCAGAGATCGACCCCCGCGCGTTGTGTGGAATGGTGGTGATGGAGATGGGTCGCTAGTGGCGTGCATGAACTTTTGTCTTCGCGACATTCTGCAGACGGCCAGCGCTGGCACGTGACTAGGGAGTGGGTCGCGGCACGCTAGCTCTGCCTAGCCCACTAGCGCCAGAATGCGGTAAGCGAGAGTTGCAGAACACCGGAATTTTGATCCTCTTGACGACCGATCACTAACGACACAGCACCCCAGTGGTAAGTTTTGTTGCCGTCGTGCTGCCAGACTTCCTCCTCGATACTAACCCATCGCCCAGACTCAGGTACGATTTTTTCGACGACGCGCCGCGCCATTCGGAGACGGCCTTGCTCACAGCACTGCAGACAATTACCCACTGACTCCCCGGGAAATCTACCACGATGCCTTCCAACAGACTCACCTACGTACGTCGCACCGCAATCTCGAGCGCTTGGCCCGGCGATTGAGAATACCAAAGGAAAGACTGGGATTGAAGACTGACTTTTTGGGCAGAGGCGACGTGCGCCATACAACACCAGGAGCCAGAAGGTGCGCATCATCAAGACTCCTGGCGGCGAGCTCCGTTACCTGCACATCAAGAAGAGGGGCACTGCTCCCAAGTGCGGTGTAAGTTGAAATGGACATGGCAAGCCGGGCTGCTGTTGACGAGTGCTAGGACTGTGGTACCAAGCTCCAGGGTGTGCCCGCCCTCCGCCCCCGCGAGTACGCCCAAGTGTCCCGCCCCAAGAAGACGGTCCAGCGCGCCTACGGCGGATCGCGATGCGCCGGCTGCGTCCAGGACCGCATTGTGCGTGCTTTCCTGATCGAGGAGCAGAAGGTTGTCAAGAAGGTGCTCAAGGAGTCCCAGCAAAAGAAGCGTTAAGCGGTTGCATTGCGAGGTGAAGGGGGTTTAGCATGTCAAAACTGGGTCAACGGTGTTTACGTGCATTATGGGCAGTCTCCTGGTTCGGTCGGCTTTTACGATACCAAGAGGATTTCTGCGTCACGCCGCCAGGCTGTAGCTGAGTAGGGTTACGAATACATCCACAAGCTGCGACACGGGTTTTTGCCGGAGACTGTAGCGTGAGGCCCTGGCAAGCTGAGGCGGCCGTGTTGAGTGCAAACGGAGAAGCCGTGTCCAATGCAAAGCCCGAAGCCATGATCCATGCATACTGCGTGCGCCGTGAGTGTTGTGGCCTGCGAGTGTGCTGCAGGGCGGACGGTCAGGTTCGACCCGGGTGAAATCTAGATACAGCTGGGTGGTGATGGTGTTGAGCTACAGATTGCATGTCGAGCCGCCCACAGACGGCGCAATGCCCACGGCTGCGAAGGCGCGTGGCATGGCGACGGTCGAGTGCCCACGCAGCGCGCAATGGCCGCAAGGGCGCGGCCCGAGCATGCACATGGGCGGGCGCGGCTGTGATTGGCGACGGGCTGGGGGCCGTGGTGAGGGTGCGGGTGCGGGTGGAGGGTGGTGGGCGAGGGCTGGCTGCAGGAAGCAGGCTGACTTGCTGCGGGCCATGGATTCTGTTGCGGGTGCGGCTACGGCCACGGCTACGGCCACGACGCGCATGACCAAGAGCCTCTCGCGCGGCATTGGAGTCAGACCTTTTGGCGCTGCTTCCATTCGCGCTGGCGGCCTCGGACTCTCCCAGCGCGCGCCCCCGCTTCCACTCTGCTCGACCCCCTAGATTGCCTGCGATATCGGTCGCCGGCCATGTCGACCAACATGCTGCACTCCATGTCGCCCACCACGCCGGGATTACAAAGCCTTCCGCACCCCTTCGCCAGCCCCAACAGCAACCACGCCCGCGGCTTCAAGCGCTCCGCCTCGAGCGATGACGACGACAATGCCGACGGAGATGCGCGCCCCTCGTCGTCGCGGCGCAATACCGCCGTCAAGCGCGCGTGCAACGAGTGCCGCCAGCAAAAGGTGAGTAGGCCCGCGCCCGCTCTCGACGCCTCAGTCTCCCGTCTCCAGCAGCCCGCCGCCCATGGCCACTCTCGCGCGCATGCCCAATGCCGGTGCCAGTCGATGAGGATTCACCGTTATGGCGGCTGACGTCCCGGCGTCCAATGGCGAGCTGGCGACGCCTCGACCTGTCTTCCTGCCGCTAACATTGTTTTTTTCCGCAGCTCAAATGCAACGTCCAGCAGGATCCCTTTGTCAGCTGCGCCCGCTGCCAGAAGCAGAATCTACGATGCGTCATCGAGCCCAACTTCAAGCGCATTGGCAAGCGCAACCGCAATGCCGAGATGGAGAAGGAGATGGAGTACCTGCGCGAGAGGCTCGCCATGTATGAGGGCCAGGCAGCGGCGAACCAGCCCGTCGTCAAGGCTCCCCAGCACGTGTCAGACACCCACGGCTTCACCACCGGCACAGTCCCCAAGGTCGAGGACGACGCATTTCTACAGACCCAACACACCCAGGTAGCGGCCACATCTTTACTCGACTTGCGCAGTGGATCTCCCATGTTCTATTCACTTGGCGCGGGCGAAGTGCGCCTCGGGCACAGCGAGGTCAATGACTTGTTTACCGAGTACTTCCAGCTATATCACCCATTCTTGCCATTCCTAGACCAGGTGCGGTCGCCTGAGGAGTACTATTCCCAAGACCATAAGCTCTTGTTCTGGGCCATTGTTGCTGTGGCTGCGCGGCGATATGGACCCCGCCCGTCTCTCTTGAAGGAACTTGCCAAACCGCTCAGCGATCTGATCTGGGATTCGATAAGGAATCAGCCCAACCACCATGTAGTCAAGGCGCTGTGTCTTCTCTGTACTTGGCCTTTACCGGCAGAGCGAACCGTGACGGATCCAACCTTTATTCTGTGCGGTGCCATGATGCAGGTTGCTATGCAAATAGGCCTTCATCAGCCGACCCACCCAGAGGACTTTACTAGAACAAAGGTGCGCCTGCGACAAGAGGACATACACGACCGTCTGAGGACATGGGCGGTCTGCAACATTGTAGCCCAAACGTAGGCCTAGTCTTTCTTTACATCTAATATAAAGCTCACAGCGTCCAGGGTATCGACAGGCAATGGCCAGCCTTCCATCACACTCTATGACTCCACCCTTGACTTCAAGGTGGATGACGAAGAGCACATGCGCATCATACCACCGACATTGTTCGTCCGTCTTCGGCAAGAAATGGCAGCAAGCAGAATCAACAAGCTCCTCTATTCAGTGAACAGTCGTCGATTTGCAGACGGTGCTGCGCTCAGCTACATGAGTCTTGAAGCCGACCGTTTGAAAGAGGAACGTGTCAGAGAGCAAAATGGCTCCCTCGATGGTGTGGACAGTGGTATGTTTGATTGGACTTGTCCTGGCACTGTGAACTAACATTCGGCAGACCTAGAAGAGCTCTATCATTATGCCGTCACACTACACCTCCATTTATACTCTTTCTTCAATTCTGAAGCCCGATTGGAACGACGCGACGATCTTGTCGCATTATACTTTGCCGCAACCGCATACCTGGAGCGTGTCTTCAAGTTGCAGCGCGACAGCAAACTACTCTACGTTCCATATTACGTGATGCAGATGGCTCTTGCGGCTGGCTTTGCGCTGCTCAAACTTCTCAACTCGGACTTTGCCAGTAAATTGCCCGCGGATAAAGGCCGACAGTTTGTACTGCAGACTGTCGATTCCTTGAGAAAGGCCAAGGTGTGGTCTAACGACCTGCTGGATCGGTTTGCCGAAGTGTTGGCGCAGCTCTGGAAGGAGAGTTCCCGAGGACGTAGCCTACACAGCATGTCGCAGTCACCTTCCCTCAGCAACGCGGGCATGAACAGCATGTTCAACCACCACAATCAGCAACAACACCAACAGCTGCTGCAAGAGCATAGACGAGGCAGTGCCGGTATGCTGGATGACCCCCTTGGCCTAATAATTCGAAGCCGGATGAGCATGAGCGTAGTATTTGATTGTGCGTGGCGCTGGCGAGAAGCGCAGGTTAGTGGCTCCGCAGAGCAGCTCGAGAACACCGTCATGACGAACCCTACGAATCCCGACTCTTCGAATAACTCGACGCCCCCTCCTGGCGATCCAAACGAAAACCCTGCGCATACCCTTCCGACGTTCAATCCTCACATCAACACGCTGAGCATGCCGCTTCAACTAACTAATGGAATGGCCAATGCTAACAGCTTTGAAATGTTCGACTCGGTCTCTTGGCTTCTGGACACCCAGCCAGACTGGACGTATGGAAGCGGCACTTTTGGTAACGACTTTGGTGTATAGAGTAACGGAGGTTCTTGAGCCTTTGTGGTTTTCCAACAAGCAGACTCACGACTGGTTCATTCGTCACTAAGATTTTGGGTCCCGTGTGCCTGGCCATTTGGATCATATCTTTTCGTTTGACGAGAACCGTGCTGGTGCGGCGACTGGACAGTTGCCATTGCTTGGAACTGAACCAAATCTGGATGTGTGGTATTTGCAGGGGTTGCATTTGTTTTAGCGTGGCGTTTTGGGCTGACCTCAGTGTCAAAGAGACTCTTTTTTTTATGCTATCACATTAATTTCTTCGTCCTCTGATAGGGTCGAAGCTATGGTCTCTATAGCAATGGGAAGAAAGGCGTGCTACTTATGGCTGTATGGAGAGTGCGAGAGAGAGAGAGAGGATTACGCAGCCAGAATAGTAGCTGTGCGGTAGGTTTGGTCCTGAATTCTGGTGTAATTGGATTGAGATATTCATCATTTTTCACAGTACGATGTATATAGGTGACTCCTAAGAACTGACATGTTATTTTCTGCCATGTCCAAACTCGATTATCTCTGACAGTAGCTGGTTTGGACATATATCAGTCAATGCATGGATGTGAATTTAATATTCAAAATCTTGGAGACAATCTTAGGATTGCTATACACAGTATATCGAGATTTTTTTGTATCAAACCCCCCCCCCCAACGTACCATGTTCAAATGATACCTCTGTATACATCAATACTAACAAGTTATTGGGGGCTTTTTTTATTCACGTCAAAAATGCACAAGAATGTATGTGAAGCAGCGATCAATTGTAAAAAAGAAAAAAAAGAAAAAAAACAGGGCAGATGGACATTCCAACATGTTATGTCCCATTTATATTTGGAATTTCAAACTCGTTTTGGTATATTCGAAGCACCTGTATCCCCACCCAGACGCATGTAAGTATATATGAAGCCCTATTACCAGATATCTTGGGGAAAAAAAGAAAGAAAAGAAAGAAAACCGACTACGATACCAAGATAAACGCCAAAATTAATGCCACACACCAAACGCTCAAGCATGATTGCACTAACAAGGGAAGATATTTGGCAGATTTCTCCACTGGAATAGACAGGGGGAAAACGAAGCATCTTAATGTCCACATCCACAAGACTCACCATGCACCACGCCCACATCCCTCTTTTTATGATCACCGCCATAGCTTGCCAAATGCGTCTGACCGTCTAACCGCTGACCGTCTTCGGGTACCTTACCCATCCAGCCCACCATGGTCCCATTCGCATCCTGCACTTTTAGACCCGCGCCCTTTTGCCTCAACTCCTTGGTGATAGCCTCGACATCCACGCCAAGGTAATCGCGCAAAAAGTCTCCAACCTCGGTGTTCTCATGGTTTCCATGCAGGGCCGTGGTGGCATCGGGGTCGGACGTGTAAATATTTACGTCTGCGCCGCTGTGGCCGTGCGTTGACCATCCTGTTTGCGCGCGCCGGGATATCATGTCTGCGTATTGGTAGAGGGCGGTTGCGGGGTCCTTGATGAGATTGTTGACTTCGTCTTGAGTGTAGTCGTGAACGCCCAGGCCTTCGGCGAGAGATTTTCGGACGAAGTCGGCGGTTTGGTCTGCAGGAGGGTTCGCGGCAAGGTACTTTTTGTAGGCAGACGCAAGGTTTTCGGCCGAGTGGGAGGCGTTTGCGAGGGGACCGGGGTACCAGACGTACTCGGGGTATGTAGAGTGAAGTTCTATAGGCATGTTAGCGGCAAGGCTGGAGCGGAGGATATGGGGATAAAAGAGGCATACGTCGAGCAACGGCCAGACCTCCAGTCTCGTGGTCAGAGGTAGATACCATAACGGTCTGCGTCTTCTCGTTCTTGATAAAGTCAAGCACACTGTTGAAAGCCTTGTCGTATGCGAGAACCTCGTGGACTTGGGCAGCGGGGTCATTGTGGTGACCGGCGTGGTCGATTCTGGAGCCCTCAATCATAAGGAAAAAGCCCTTGTCGCTGTCCCTCGTCGCATCACTAAGTGCCTTCATAGCTGCCTCGGCCATCTCGTGCAGGCTGGGGTAGACGTCGTTCTGGTTGCGGCGGTCGATTTCATAGGGAATGTCCGTGTCGGCAAAGAGTCCCAGCATGGGCATTTGGAGGGCAGCTCCTCCCTTCAAGCCGTCGAACCCAGCACGGTCAGAGACGTAGTTGAAGCCATAAGTCTTGGCCATTGCGACAATGTCCTTGTCGTCGGCGCGGCAGCTCGCATCACCGGTCGAGTTTGGGAGGAAGTGGCATCGGCCACCGCCCAACATCAGGTCCACGACACGTCCCAGCGGATAGTCGCCAACCATTTGTTCGGCGATGCGGTCTTCCTCGGATCGCATGTTCACATGTGCAGCGAAGCACGCCGGGGTGGCATCGGTGATGCGTGTGGTGACTACCAGGCCCGTCATGTAACCCGCCCGCTTGGCGGCTTCCAGCACCGTTCCGCATGGCTCATGGTCTGGTGTGACAGAGATGGCACCGTTGTAGCTCTTTCGCGCGCAAGAAAAGGCAGTGGCACCGGCCGCTGAGTCGGTGATGAGCGAGGAGGCGGATCGAGTGCGCGACTGGCCGATAAGGTGTTGGTCGATAACGAGCTGCTCACCAAAGGGAGCGCCGTTCTGGAACTGCATAAAGGATCGTGTGAGGGACAGCGACGTGGGGCCCATGCCGTCCGAGACCATGAATATGAGGTTCCTCTTGCCCGTAGCCTTGCGCGTCCTGGGGTCGATGCTCGCTCGTTGGAGGAGCACCGCGAGGGCGATGACGGCGCCTGTGGCCACGACGGCCCAGGCAAAGAGGCCGACTTCTCTCCAAAGCCTCCATGGCCTCACGCCCTGTTTCTCGGGATGGTCCGTCGGGCGGTTGGTAAGCAGGGCATCTTCTTCTGCCAGGTCGCGACTGGCGCCCATGTCCGAAGAAGCGCGGTTCGCGAAGAGGGGACGAGCACCAGACATGGTGGGTGGTGTGGGAGCGCGAGGGCTCGGTGGGTGAGCAGAGATGGAATGGCACTTAGGGGAAAAAGGAGTGTCAGGCTAGTGATCCATTTCCAGCTGACGAGTTGGTATATGAACACGGGGGGAGGGAGGGAGTCAAGTCAGCCGGGCAGCCACGAGACGTGTGGCGCCGGCTGATCGCCCATTGGACTTGACGTTGGCGGCGGGAACGTGCAGTCGGTAGCTACTTAGGCGTCTCGCATCACCCGCACCTGAAGCATGACCCCTTGTTCACCGGCGAAAAGCATGGTAATACTGCATCCAGCTGTGCATGGGTGCCGCCCAAGCCGAGAATGATGATATAGACTGCCCCCAGACTATCGTAACCGTATATAAACGCCCGCGCTATGCTGTGTAGATAAAACATGCATCAAATGGACCATGGACCTGGAAAATCCCTTCCCCTTCATGTCGTACCAGAACAAGCTCGCTCCTACATCTCCTCTGATTCAGTCTCGAGCCACTGGCCAAAGTAGACGCAGGTTCGCGCCGAGATTTCTCCCTCGTCTCCGCACAGGTCGAATACCGGACAATTGCCGCATGGGGCGTCTACAAAGCCGTTGTAGACCTTGGTCTCTGCTGCCCGTAGCACCGTCCGATAGTTGGTACCGGATATCTTCTCGAGCCGATCCTCAAGCACCATCATCTCGAGTAACTGTTCCATGTCGTCTTCTCGCACGACTTTACCACGCAAAACCTCCTTGGAATTGAGCCAGCTGGCTACCGAGGCGGCATTCGGGTACTGCGGGTTGTGCCGGTGAACCAGCTTGGTTGTGCTGGGATCCCTCGAGGCTTGATAAGGCTTGACGGCTGGGGCTATGTCCTCGATGTCCTGGATGCCTTGCACTTGGGCTTTCTTCCTCGCAATGGCGGCCGTCCTATCTTCTGTTATCTCGTAGTCGTTCCAGTTGCCCGGTACCCTGATGCACGTCTCATTCTCAACGTGCTGCGCTACGATGTTCGATATCGTGTCGATTAACGCCGTGTCAAAGTCGCCCTCGGATTGCCATGGTCCACCCGCAATATCTTCCGACGGCTTCAGGTGCTTCAAGAGGTACATTTTCCGGTTTGGGAACTTGACGCTCATGACCGACTGCACCAGGTCCTTCGACTCGAGGCTCTTGAGACATTTTGTGAGCGTCTGCTGGGTGACGTTGGTCCTGGAACGAAGCGCCTTGGACCAGATGCCGTCGGCCTGGACCTGGTCGATGTGGTGGTAGAGGAGGCGTTCGTCGGGAGTCAGCCGCCGAAGTCTGCAAGACACGCAGCTGTTAGTGCAGCTCTCACATAGGAGGTTGTGGAGAATTCATGGCTGTAGAGTTGTTTGCACAGCGCCCAATAGGCTCACGTACTTGTCGGCATCTTCTCTTGAGCGCAACTTCCAGCAAGGGTCTCCCTCGAACGTCATGAGTTTCAACAGGTGGCGGTCGCAGAGCTCTTGCAACAGCACTGTCAGCTGGGCCATGGTTTCCGCGACCTGCATGTTGGACAGATCTCGCTGGAAGAAGATCTGGCCCGCAGGCCGTTGTGCGCATTTCTCGTACAGAGCATCGGCGGGGCTGACGACTTCGTTGATGTTGCTGCTACTGTTGGCCTCGACGGGCTCTTCTTTGAGCACCACCGAGGGCGCCGTGGTTGAAGCCATACTGTTGTTGTGTAGGGCGGGTTCTCTGTCACCGGTCGATCATGGATTTGCCGCCGTGTGTTGCGTGTGAGTGTGGACGCGACGACATGGCGGGCACTAAGTATCGCCAAAAGTTTTTGGTGGGGAACCGTGGTCACTCACACTCACGCCCAGTCACGTGCTAGTGGCCAGCCCTGCATTTGCGTTTTTGGTCCGCCAAAGACACACAATCAGCACTACCAGCCTAGCCTACATCTACAATTCACACGACGGCTTCCGCGTCCAAATCCGAATTACATGCTGCGATAAGCACTACGTCGTCCGCCACAGCGCTCGCCCCATGCTGGACAGCATCCTTGCCCAGGCCCCCCGTGGGACTGCCAATGCGGGGAACACGACAGCGCCTCCACCTCTACATACGTCTCCTTCTCGCCTATCCCAGCTCTTCTTCCAACTATCAGTTCACAGCAGTAACGCCTCCAGCATGGGCTCCTTTCCCAATATGTTGCCGCCACGCGCTAAACTTCCAAGACATGCGGTTCCCGCATCGCGACTTGAATGCATCGAGTGTCTGGATTCATGCTCCTGACCCCGCAAATGGTCAGCTGCTGATTAAGAAGTGTATTCCGGTTAAAGACTGTCGAGGCAGGTCCTAAGACTTCTTCTGCGCGGTAAACGATAGACGATGTGTACTGGCCAGTACCTTCTGCAGAACAAAGTCTCTGGGCTACCAAAATGGCAAGAATCTTCACTGGCAATTAAGTGCTGCATGCTTGTCTAGACAAACACACCATTTGTACATGTTGGTGCCAAAATGTCCATGGCCGTTCTTCTATGAGGGCCGTTCTGTCTGGGGCTCGGGTACCATCACCCGGCCATCACCCGCAGTCGTCGTATCTGGAAACTTTACACTCTGAAGAATTGCCGACTACCCCCGAGGGCAGGAAATCCGGACCTGAGGGCGACAGCACGTGGCTGAACAGTATCCTTGCCCTTCCGGACGAACGTGCGCGTTTAGATACCAATCACATCATGCCTGCTTTTCCACTTTCAATCAAAAAGCTTACTATTCAAGGCCGCTAGCCATCATCACATACATGTCAGTGTCTCCCGGCTATCTGGGACCCGTCCTGCGGAACATTTACTCCACAATAATGAGTCTGGGGTCCCCGCATGTATGTGTCATGAGTCAGGGGCATACGTTGTTGATAAAGTCAGTTCAGAGCCCATGGGCGTAACCCAGCATTGACTCTTATCTTTATGCCAATTCACCATTGAGATTCTCAAAGCCTGCACATGATGGCAGAAGAAAAGCAACATCATGAGGAAGTTGCAACCGCCTCGAGCGATCTCAGTCATCAACCTGGGAGTGATCTCAACCATCAACACACTAATCGCAGCCATGGACTACATCATGACCACGTTGCTGAAGAAGCAATTGGTGGCCGCACAGCTGACCTGGGCAAGTCATATTTTACGAGTATCAACTTCATAGGCACAGTAATAGTACGTTGTATTGCCCGTTCCTCTGACACAAACTCATCATGTCCAGGCTACATGTCTAGCGCAAGTATCAGGGTAAGTAAGCTTCTATGTAGCACATGACGTGTAATGCGAAACTAACGCTTAACTCAGATACCTTGGATGGGTTCTCCCCGCCAACACCTTGAGTCTTATCAATGCTGCAATTGGCCCGTCCCCAAACATCATCTGGGTCAGCATTTCCTGGACGGCCGGTTTCGCCATTGGCTTCACACTCGTCGGTCGACTTTCAGACATATTTGGTCGAAGATGGTTCTTCATATTCTCCTCGGTCCTCGGATTGATCGGAAACATCATTGGTGCAAGTGCACAAAGCATCAACATGTTGATTGTTAGTTTTGCTGGAGCCACAGCACGACACAACCGCTGACAGATACAGGCTACAAACTCTATCAACGGTCTAGCTGCTTCCGGACAGCTTTCATTTCACATTATTCTCGGCGAACTCGTACCCAACTCCCTTCGAGGTCCAGTCAACGCTTTCGTGCTTTCTACCTCCGTCCCGTTCGCCGTTTTCGGTCCCCCGGTCGCGCGATCACTATACCAGACAACAAAGCTCCAATGGCGATGGTGCTATATCCTGGGATGCATTGTAAACGTTTTGGCTATAGTCATGTACTTTTTCTTCTATTTCCCACCGACTTATGTGAGTAAGCCTCCATTGCTATAGCGAAATGACGGCTAACAAGCACAGGAAATGCTCCACGTTGGCGGCAAGTCCAAGCTGAAACAGCTCAAGACCCTTGACTGGATCGTAATATTTCTCTTCTCAACTGGCCTGGTCGTTTTCCTGATCGGCATGAACTGGGGAGGCTCCGCATACCCTTGGGACAGTGGACATGTGCTGGGAGCGCTATTCGGTGGGTTTGGAGCCTTGGTGGCCTTTTGCTTTTGGGAAGCCTACGCTCCTGGACTCGAGTACCCGTTGATTCCTATGCGGCTGTTCAAAAACATCCAGTATGATGCCAATGTCGCCTGCGCTAGTTTGGCGGCTATTGTCTACTACGCCAACTCGGTCATCTGGCCCACGATGATTTCCGCCTTGTTCACGACAGACATTTCCAAAATCGGATGGCTATCGGTAAGTTTCTTGGTCCCGAATGTTTTTTCGTGTCTGTGCTGATGGACTTTAGTGTGCGGTCGGTGGTGGTCTACTCCTCGGGCAGATTCTTGGAGGTGCAGGCGTCCGCTACCTGCCACGAATGAAGATTCAAATGATTGTAGCAGCGGTCTTCACAACAGCCTTTGTTGCAGCCATTGCAGCATCCAACAAGACCACTCAAAATCGAACAACGGCATTGCTTTTGATTGGCACCATCGCAGCAGGCTACATTGAGAACCTGACTCTTTCGAGCACGGCATATCTTTGGGACCCAGCAGATATCGGTCTCGTCACTGGCGTCATGGGCGCCATCCGCACAGGTCTTTCAGCCATTGCGACCAGCATGTACTCGTCTATTCTGACAACAGAGTCGTCCAAGTACATTCCTAGAAAAGTTACGCCCGCTGTACTTGCCGCTGGCCTACCAGAGTCATCTCTACCCTCTCTTTTCGCCAGCATTACCAAAGGAGATTTCACGGGCGTGCCTGGAATTTCGCCTGCCATCATTGCCGTGACGGGGTCAGCCGTCAAGGACGCTTATGCGGTTTCTTTCCGGACTGTGTATCTGTGTACGCTACCGTTTGGTGCGCTGTTGATTGTTGCCGCCATCTTCTCCCCGAATGTCGAGCAGTATCTTACCGACGAGGTGGCGAGGAAGATGCATGATAAAGGAGATAAGGAGATTGAGGTTGAGAGGAAGGAGTTTGTCGAAGCTTGATGCCCTTGATCTGCATAGATTGAATTGCATACATGTTAGTAATTTCAAAGCTATCTTAATTAGTAGACATATCTTTTGACTACTTGGACTCTAAGAGGATGTACATTAATACATGAAAATTTCTCCTTTTGACCAAGACGATGATGATGATGATGATGATGATGACGATTGACAATGTAAATATTATTCATGCTGTGCTCAGTTTCTTTTTTTTGTACCCGAGTCTGTTGAATGGAAAAGTGCATGATAGAATCAGTCCTAATATGCGCGTTCAAAACATGGAAAGAAAAAAAAATTCTATTCTGCAAGTTTCTACTGCCAAAAAAAAAACCCTGCATAAACCCCTTGGTATCTTGGACCTCTAACCTCACCCCAAAACACGTGCACCACTGCCCGCTTCCGCTTGAACACAACCGTACTTACTCGCTGGTTACAAAAGGGTTACTTGAGGAATTTGTTCAAAAGTCCCTTTCCACCCTTGACCAGATTCTTCACCTCTCTCTTTATATCATCGGCTGGGTTGCCGCTGTGATGATGGCCAGGCTGCTGGGACCCTCCGCCTGGGCCTCCGCTACCACCGCAGTGGCCTTGGCCCCCACACGTTCCGCCAGGACAGCCCTGAATGAAATGCTGAACCTCGCTGCAACATCTGCCGCATTCGCCGGACCCCATAAAGGGGCCTCCGTGGCCCCATCCCACGCGCATGACACGCGCCTTGCGACCTTCCCAGCCTGTCTTTGCGTCGGTAGCGTGGAAAACGCCCCAGACCTCTGGGCCACCGGGGCCATTGACGAGCACAAAGTTGCCATGACCAGGGCCATACGGCGGAGAGTCGTCGCGAGCGGCTTTGAGAAGCGGGTTGTTTGATTTTGCCCACGAGCGGGGGTCCAGCGGGTGGCCGCCAGTGTAGTACAGGATATTCATCTTGTACTCGTGTGTCCAGCTGCCCGCACAGCTATACACGATGCCCATCCACCTGCCGTCTGGCGAGCACAAGAACTGCGGGCCCTCGTTGATGCCGCTGTTTCCGGAGAACTCAAAGGGCAGGTCGGGTGTGCTGATGCGGACAGGCTGGCCCGTACATTCCGTCGGGGATACCATTTCGATAATGTAAATTTCTTGACGCGATTCGTCGGCGTTGGTGCCAAATGGCCAGCCAGAGTACACAAAGAGCATGGAGCCTTGGAGAAAGATGACGGTGCCATCGATGGCCCATTGATCTTCTGGTAGGCCATGCAGACGGCCGAAAAAGTTCCACTTGCTTGGCTCCAGAGGGTCCTCATCGGCTGGCGGGCCAGCAAGGACATACATGCGGTGTGATTTGTTGCCATGCGCTGGGTCGTCAGCTGCAAAGTAGACATACCAGCGTCCCTGGATGGCATGTAGTTCTGGGGCCCAGATATCAGCCGAGTAGGGTTGGTTTGGCGGGGGTCTCCATATGACGGTCTTTTTGGACCGTTCTTCGAAATCAAACAGGGAATCGGCAGACCAGATTTCAACGTGTCCGCCGCAAGTAAAGGTCATGTAGTATGTGCCCTTGTCCCATAGCACGTATGGATCGGCGCAGCTTCGCTTTGTGATTGTAAGAATCGAGTCGTTGTATGGTGGTCGCTGCTCATGGAAGACTGGTTGCATTTGTTGCGCCATGGTGGAATGTCAACGGTTGTCCTGCAGTGAAACTGGAGAAGATGAATGGGTAACCAACAGTAACACCATGGAGAAGAAAGGGCTATGCTAGTTCACGTGGCCTCGGCCCCATCAGGCGCACACGCGTTACAGCTGTATGGTGACGTCACTTCGGGCCTTCATGTTCTTGGTCCCAGCAAGCCATGTGGTGTCGACAAACTGGATCCTTATGCAGACGGTCATGAGGGCGTATGGGGAATTCTTGGGTCATGTGTTTTGGGGCTTCGGTCTGGTTTTCCTCTCGTAAGCGAACAAGGGAGAATGATCTACTCATCTGTGGCGGTGTTGCATGCGGGGAGATGGTAAAGCCACGCACCCTGCGGGGGAACCGTGTGCGCCTTTATTCTAGACACGACTGACAAGTTGCAACAGCGTACTGATACTTCAACAGAAATAGCAAATGAAATATTGTACATGGATGTATATCCCATAGATTACGATACAATGAGCCGTGCATCATGATACTTTTTCATTCCTCCCAAGTAACCATGGCTTTGCCAACCTGAATCCCTTTCTACCAAAACCAATACCCGTTACCTAGCGAGCAAATGGGAATCCGCTGGAAAACCATCATCGTCATAAACGACAGAAAAAAAAATCAGCAGGACCGGGAGTGGCCAGCACCAATGCGTGTTACTACCCCAACAGAGGGTGGAGAAAGTTATCCAAGTTTGAGTGAATCAAATGTAGGTTGTGTCGTGACAGGTGACGACGCTCCCTGAGAAATAGAAATCCAACATCATGCCATGCCGCGACTGCGAAAGCATGGGAGGTGCCGGTTGTAATTAGTCCTTGCCATCATTACGTAAGAGCCATGCTATTAACTAGGATTTGCCATCCCAGTAAATTCTATTATACCTCCATATTAAGGGTCTGGTCGACTGTGAGTTCGCCCGATTCGATGCGGTCAACGCGAAGTACGAGCTCCTGTTTCATGGTTAGTGTGTGAATGATGGCAACGGCCAGTCTCGAAGCGTACCTTGAGAGCCCTTGCAGTTTTGAACGCAAGCGGGGGGATTCTCTCAGAGCCTCCACCTCTTATGTCTACGGCCAGCATGTTTCGTCTGCATTCATCGAGCACTTCGACAACAGGGATGGCATGCTTCTTCAGAGCTGGGTTGGAAAGCTGATTGACGGCATCGTAAGTTTTGTTGCCAGTGTCCTCGACCGCCTGCGAGATATCTTGGATGAACTCATATATCTGTTGTTCTTCTGCAGGCGTCGTGTCGGGATTGGCACGTATGAGGGTGACCAAGGGTTGGATGCTTTGGACAAGCAGAGCCGTTTGGTCTTCGAGGTAGTTCTGCGAACGTCAATAGACCGTGGCTGTCAATGCCGACTATGAGCGTACCTTGAACTCGAGCATACCGCTGTCGTTCATGCCGTTGGCGCCATTCATGCCAACGCTTCGACGGTCATAGCCGCTGTAAGGGGAACTGTGGTTGCTATACCGAGTGGTATCACTACTACCTCCTCTGCTATTGCCGCGTTGATGACCTTGCTTTAAAGCAGCACCGCCACTGGCGCTGTTTCCATTGGCATTGGGATTCGCGTAGACGGTCGACTTGAGTGGCATCGGCCTATCCACGTCCTCGTCATCGGCCTCCAGTTCATCTTCGGGCGTAGGCCGAACCTTGACGTGCTTGACTAGCTCGACAACAGCTGTCGACAAGTGACTAGCGGCAGCATCGAGCAAACTAACAGGTGACAGTCCGCCAGAGGCCACGTGGTTCTTGGTGGCCGTAATGAGATTGTTGGCTGTCGCGCTGACACGTGACTTTAATTTTGCCTGCTGCCTCTCGGGATTTGCCAACAAGTCACCGTTTACACTGCTAATGGGCGATTGAACCTGCGACAATGGGGTATTGTCGATGTCGCCAGTGATGGCTCGGACACACTTGACAACATGTCGCATGCTTTCGAGGGTTTGTTCCGAATTGGCTCTCCTGGCGATCTGAAGCAGCTCATCGATACTGAGCTGGAACTTGGTTATATGCACATCCTTGACGAGTCCATCGGGCGAGGTAAAGGTAGAGTCACGCGCGTAGCCACCCAGATCCGCCGCTACCAGTTGAGACAAGCCCATGGACGATGCCTTGAGGTTCCGGAGTTGCGTTTTGGCGCGTGCATATCTGGATTTCCAGTCCTTGAGCTCGGCTTCCAATGACGAAACTTGATTTGCCATTTGTTCTTCTTTTTCTGCGGCTGCATTGCTGCGGGCTGACAGCTCTTTCATTTCCTGCAGGAACACGGACGCGTCTCTTCGAACTTCTTCCGTCACTTGTTGTTGTTCGCCCAGTTCCCGTTCAAGCTCTTCACATCGCTGCCTCCATTCTCCGCCGCTTTCATTCGACGCTTGCGGTGGTGGCCTAGACTCGAGATCTGCAATTTGGGCGCGGAGACTGTGCTCAATGTTCTCATTTTCACTGCGCAACTTGTCTATCTCAGACCTGAGCGACGAGTTCAGGCTCTCTGCCTCTTGGACTTTTTGCTCCAGCGTAGAGCGAAGCTGGTCCCATTCTGCACGCTCCGTCTCTGAACTGCCATTCTGCGTCTTATCGGCTGCCTGTAGTCGTTGCAACTCATTGTCCTTGTCTCGTAACGAAGCCTCGAGGGAGCCAATTTTTTCTTGCAGTTCCGCCACCTGATTTTGAAGGTCTGTCGTCATCTTTTCCTGGGCCATGCTCATGCTCTTTGCGCTCTTGTCGGTTTGTCGTCTTGCCGCAGCGCCTTCTAGGTTGAAGGCATCATCATCGTCTGCCGCGCTGTCGTCGTCGTCTTCGACCAGCGTGCCCTTGTTGGGGACAATTGTGTTTGACTGAAACGTCTTGGGTAGGGGGCGGCCGAATGAATTTGGGTCGTTTCCTGAGCCGGGCCGCATTTGTCCTGGCGGGCCTGGAGGTCCTCCTGGGGGTCCACCCATGGGTCCGCCCATGGGCCCGCCCATTGGCGGCGGCCCTCGATATCCGGGCCCAGGCGGCGGTCGGCCAGCCATGCTATTTGGCGTGCCTGCTCTGCTGGGCGGCCCTCTGTTACTCATGCGACTCTGGATGCTGGCGGCGGGGCTCGAGGGTCGCTGGGGCATGTCGCCTCCGGTGAAGCGGGGAAATCTGCGTTCGAGCTCGTAGAAGACGTCGGTTGCGAGTTGGCGGAAGCGCTCGAGGGGCAGCGTCGACAGCTTCTGCCGCGCCTGGTTGCGCTTGGGGTGGAAATTGTTCTTGGGCAGGAGGTACTGGGGCGTGTCGTTCTCCGGGGCGCCTGGCCCTCCGCGCTTGCGATCCTGCTCTCGGCGTATGGATTCATCGTACACGTCGGTGCTGAGCTCCTGGAACTGGACGGCCGAGAGTCTGGTCAGCTTGTCCTTTGCGCGGCTGGGCCGGGGGTTTCCTTTTTCGTCGTTTAGATACGGGCCAAGATAGGCCTTGAGGACGTGGAAGTGCTCGGCCATGGTGTCCTCGAGCGCCTGCAGCTTCCTGCCATCGACCGAGGGCCGGATGCTGTCGCTTATGCTCGATGCATACAGGCCTGTGCCGTCGCTCGACCGTCCCACGGAGCTGGGCGGTGAGGGGTTGCCATTGCTTGTGCCGGGTCGCATTCCATTGGGCATGCCTCCATCAGTGCTGCCACGGCCGTATGTGTTGGGGGGGATGGTGGGTGAGTAGGGATTGTCGCCAGCGATATTCCGGTAACCGTTGATGGGCGACCACTCCTGGCCGTCGGTGGAGAGCGGGGACAGGGTGCCGCCGGGGCGGGCGTTGACGGTATTCATGGACGCTGCGTCGCGCTGCACCGCGAGGGCTGCGGGCGTTGGGCTACACCTAGTTGTCGTATGCGTGCGTATCTTGGGCCGGGTGGGTAGGGGTGTTGTTTGGGGGGGCAAAAGGCCAGCCGAGTGGGTGGCTGGTGGTTGTGGTGGGTGCAGCTGAAACGGTAGGCGTGGTGGTAGGCGAAGGGATGTTGGGGGTGTTGGGGGCGTTGGGGCGGAGAAAAGAGCAAAGATTAGCAGAACATGGGCAGTCCAGCGGGCGAAAGAGCACGTTAGCGTCAGCGGGTAATGAAGGGCCGGGGGGGCATGGAGTAATAAGAATTAATGGAGGAAGCGCGTAGAGCCGTGGCAGCAACAAGGCCGGGGCAGAAGCAGTAGCGTACGTGTAGCAGCGTAGCGTAGCGGCGGCGGCGGCGGCAGCGGCAGCGAGGCGCACACGACGGCGACGGCGATAGCGGTAGCGACGGCGACGGCAACAGCAACAGCAACAGCAGCAGCAGCAGCAGCAACAACGTGAGCTTGGGCGAGGACGGGCAGCCGGGGCCAACCAGGCTTATGAATGAGGCTGGCACACTCGTCTTGTCAAATGTCGGTCATGGTGCCCCTTTCGCCTTGGCTGCTAGCTGCTTGTAGTAGCCGGGGGCCGTAAATCCATAGGGCCGACGCGACCATGGCCACGCCACTGGCCCTGACTATGTCACTGGCGTACCTGTCCATCTCTCTAGTACTATGTGTGTGGGTTGCTGTAGAAGAAGAAGAAGAAGAAGAAGAAGATACATGCTACATGTGCATGTCTTGTGTAGTAGTACCTGCATATGCAATTGGCTCTCGCCGCCGAGGGCCCGCCTCTATCTACATGTACTACGTGTGTACATATACATACACACACACACACATATATATATATATATATATAGATGTAGATATATACAGTACCACTGCGGCGTCTACACTCGTCCGGCCATGGACAGACCTCAAATTACCCCCCCCCCCCACCACACACACACAATCGACGCGGCCGTCTGATATTCGCAGCACTACCACCCCGGCCGTTGGGTCTGGCCCGGCGATCATGCCCCCTGCAGCCAGCCGACACAGACAGTAACGGGAAAATAATCACACGCAATCAAATGCGCTTTCTCATGCGGCTTGGCGCCGTTGGGCCCAAAAAGCCATGCCCGCCCTTTATGCTAAGCACCAAAAAGAAACGCAAGACAAATTAGCCGCGCAGAAAAGACGAGAAGAAAAAAAAAGGCAAAAAAGGCAAAAAAGGCAAAAAGGGCAAAAAAGAAACGACAGTCGCCCGTAGCGCGTGCCGCCCAGACGCCTCTCCCGCAAGCCCCCTTTTGCCAAGCCGCTACCACAACCGCACACACGTGCAGCTATCGATTGTGCCTGCATCGTGCTACGCCATGGCATGCAGCACTCGTACAATGCCATGCCATGGCCATGATGGCATTCCATCGCATCCCACATCCCATCGCATCCCATCGCATCCCATCGCCTCCTACCGCGCCCTACCGCGCCCGCTTGATCTTGGTCGGCGCCTGGTTCCTGCACTCGGGACACAGCCAGTCCCCAACCGGCTCCTCCTTGATGCCCACGCACTCCCAGTGAAACCACTGGTACCGGCAGTTGTCGTTGTCGCACGCCACCATGTCGCCAAAGCTGACGCGCTGGCATGTGCAGTACTTGGTGTCGTCCGACTCGTCCTCCTCGCCGTCGCCCCCCCCCATGCCCGCCATGTCCTCGTCCTCTGTGCCCGCCTCGCTCGCCACGCTCTCGTCGTCGGCCGTCGTCGAGGGCGACGCCCGCGACCCGCCCTTGCGCCGCTTCTTGCTCACCCCAGACTTGGCCGTCAGCGCCGCCTTGCGCAACGGCTGCTGCGGCTTCGCCTTCTTGACCGTGAGTGCGTTCTTGGGCGGCCTGGGCCCGACGCTGCCTGCCCGCGACCCCGGCGTCGACGGCTTGGGCGTGCCTGGCCCTATCGACCCCTGCCGCCCTAGACTCGAGCTTGCCGACGGCAGCGGGCCCAGACTGCCTGTCGGACGCCGCCGCTTGCTCTCGCTGCCCACCGACATTTCGCGTTCTTGTCGCGCGCTCGCCTGCATGGCGCTCTGCGCATTCGTCAGCCGCTGCTGGTTCAGCAGCGCCTGTGTCTGCATCTTCTGCAGCGACGGGTTCGTCCTCGACCCGAGCCCCGCGCTGCTTGCGCTGCTCAGCCGTGCAATCGCCGCCGCCTGCGCCAGGTTCGGCGCGCCGCCTCCCTGGTTGCCCGATACGGGCAGCAGTGGTGTGTTGGCCCCTGTGTTGCACATGGACGCCGGCGGAACCAGGTTCGCAGTCGACTCTCGCAGCAACGACGGCATCTGCGCATCCATGGGCATCGACCCGTCATTCTGCAAGTCGCGCAGCTTGCTGTCCAGCCGCTTGACGTGGCGGTCCAGCTGTTGTTCGTGTAAGCAAAACCGCTGCCATGTCCCGCTCACCCGCCCAACCTACCAGCGCTGCAGCCTTTTCCACCAGCCCAATCTTCTCTTCTTGCAGTATCTGTGCCTTTTCGTAGCTTGCTGTGATGGTCTTGGCATACCCGGCCTCCTTTGGATTTTCCACCAGGCTGCCGTTGAGCTTGATGAATTTCTGGATGCTGCTGTCACGCTGCTGAATGCCTGCCCGCAGCTCCTGGATCTGGTTGTCCTTGGCCTGTACCTCTTCGTACAGGTGCGTTATCTCCGCCGGCAGGTTTGCAACTGTTTGCCGTGTTAGCCCTGCTTGCGCTGCCCCTTTGCCCTAGCCGAAATTACCGTCGTGTACAAACTGCTCGAGCACTGTTGCCGCGTCCTCGGCGATGGCCATGGCAAATGCCCAATAATGTGATGTCGCCCCAGGCGCCCGTGATGGGTGGCGAGACACACACACTGAGCTGAGGCTGTCGCAAGCACTCGACAGTCTCCAGGAAGCGCCAGCAAACCAGTATCCCCGATGAGCGTCGCAATGCGATTGAGACTTTGATCAAAACTGATGGCGTATCGACGACGACTTGGCAGGTGAAAGAGCCACGGGCGGTGAAAGCCGAAAGGAAACCGCGCCACTCCAAAAACTGCTTCTGCCTCAACCCGTACTGGAAGCCTCCCGATTCCACCTGCAGCGCTCCGTCTCTATAGAATCATGTGCAGATGTTGTGAGTTTAGCGGATTGCGCTGTTTTGTCGCGGTCGAGGTTGCGCGTCGGACAAGTAGGCACGGCTAGCTGACAAAGAGGCTAGGTTTCGCCTGGGCGCTCGGCAGCATGCACAGGTACCGCCAATCAGACGACGCCGCCGCCGACGACTCGTTCGTTTCGTCTCCGGCCAGCCAACATGCCTCCCACGACGAGGACGAATCCACCAACCAACAGGACCACTGCGCCCCAGAGAAAGACACTGGAGCATTTGCTGGCCCCACGCCTAGTGGACGGAAATTCCATCTCAAGCTGAGCACGCTGTTGAACGGGCCGCAGTGGCGACTGGCCAATCCAGCTTCACGGCGCGCAACCAGGGTCGATTACCGCCTCACCAAGCCTCCAACGGAAAGGAAACGTACCCAAAGCCCTAGGGTGAGCAGCTCTCAAGCGCACCAGACTGCGCCAGACTTGGTTATATTCTGCACAGCTTAGTGAACATCGCGGACTCTTAAGCTCGGTGGCTTCTGGCATGCACTAACAGCAGCAGCAGCAGCAGAGTGCAGCCGACGACAATCAAGCTCCGCCCTCTACTCCTGACGCCAAGACTCTTACGCGCTGGAAAAACGGTCGCGCAGAAGAACAGAGACGTCATTCATTTATTGATTCATTCGTTGGCACAAACGACGACCGCGCCCGCTGGATCTGGGAGGGGCCGCCAAACCCACGTCTCGTCAACGATTTTGACAACACAACTCACACAAGCCTATCTCCAGCATCTGCCAATATGCGCGCCCCAGGCTACAGCGCGCCCAATGGGCCGGCAAACAACATCGTGCAGGAATACCTCTCTCCGGACGAAGGCTACCCTGCTAATTACCCAGACTTCAAGGCGATGACTGATGCGGAGAAGATTGAAGTCATTGCACGCGAGGCGGAAGAGCATGGCCTGGAGAGACCAAAGGGCTGGAACGTTTCCTTCCACTACAACCCACACGTGGAATACCACCACTTTGGCAGCTCGCATCCCATGAAGCCGTGGCGACTGACGCTCACCAAACAACTGGTCCTTTCGTACGGACTCGAGTACACCATGGACCTGTTCGAACCAAGACCGGCAAACTTTAACGAACTTGCCATCTTCCACGACCGTGAATATCTGTCCTACCTCAGCAAAATCACCCCCCAGAATGCACAGCCAGAGGACCCCCAGTACATCACATACGGATTTGGCGGCGAATCCAATGACTGTCCGGTGTTTGACGGGCTTTGGAATTATGTATCCCTGTACACTGGTGCCACCAACAGCGCAGCTTGGAATTTACTCAACAACCGATCCGACATTGCCATCAATTGGTCTGGCGGGCTTCACCACGCAAAGAAGAACCTCGCATCAGGCTTCTGCTACGTCAACGACATTGTCATTGCCATTCAGCTCCTACTGACGCAGCACCAGCGCGTCTTGTACATTGACATTGACGTTCATCATGGCGATGGCGTCGAGCAAGCATTCGAATCAACAGACCGCGTCTTTACGCTTTCCTACCACAAGTACGGCATTGACAAGCATGGCTACCCATTTTTCCCAGGCACGGGAAACATTGACGAGACGGGCCCGACGGATCCGCGGAATCCGGGCAAGGCGCACAGCCTGAACATTCCTATTGATGACGGAATCGACGATGACCAGTACAAGTGGTTGTTCAAGACGGTTACTAGTGCTGTGATTGAAAAGTACAACCCAACCGCTATTGTTCTACAATCTGGCGCCGACTCGCTCGGTGGGGACCGGCTTGGTCGGTTCAATCTCAACATCAAAGCGCACGGCTTCTGCGTCGAGACAGTCAAGGCATATGGGCGTCCACTGCTCATAATAGGAGGCGGCGGATACACTCCGCGCAACGTGGCGCGTACGTGGTGTCATGAGACTTCGGTGTGCGTTGGTGCACAGCTGCACAATGAGCTTCCGGCACACATTCCCTATCTACAGGCATTCCAAGGGACAGAAAACGGCGACGGTGTCTTGTATCCAGACCTGCACAACATCAAACGCCACGAGAACCTCAACTCTCCGGCCAAACTCCACAAGCTTATTGAGCAGGCACTGGAGAACCTGAGATACCTCGAGGGCGCGCCTAGTGTTGGGGTCGATACACGAGGCATCCCTCTCGAGGAGATTATGAAGGTCAGGGAGATGATTGACCAGGAGCTGGAGGACGAGGCCGAGGACAGGGCACGTCTGACGGTGGAGAATGGCCGGCGTAAGAAGGAGAGAAACGTTGGGGGGCGGCACGAGCGAAGATGATGACGACGCTGGCGTTGTGAGGACAAGTGACGGGCGTTTGGGCACAATGTAGGGGGAGGGCACCCTGGAGGGGAGTACCCGTAATAGCGTGCTGTAACCGGATTTGGATAGCAACATGAGGGTTGGCGGCAGGTTTGGTTTGCACGTGTCACGACTGGGGATTGGCTCGAGGCGTCATGTGACTGCGGGGAATCGGCGCCTCGGACATGTCCTGCCCGCGCGGATGGTTTCGCATGTCGACGGCCACTTGTGAGCTGCGAATGACTCGGCCGCGACTTGATTGCACGCAGCAGCCGGTGGCGAGCTGATTAATGCATACACATGTAGTGCACCTATGGACGACGCATGTCCTTCACCCAGGGGCCGGCTTACATGTATGGACCCGGGGCCAGGGTCGTTCCTTCCAGAGGCCAGCGCCAAGACGTGCGGCGTAGTGGTAGTCGTCTCGTCTTCGCAACAGGCGGCCTGCTTTCCAGGCCGACCTTTTCTCCAGAAAACATGTCGAGCGAGAGACACCCAAGCATCGACTCGCCCAACGGTGCGCCGCAGCCAAGCAGCCACGCCAGCCGCCCCTCAGCCGGCGGCGCCCCAACTCCAGCCCCCCGGTCGTGCGTCACCTGCCGCAGGCGCAAAGTCAAGTGCGACAAGAACAACCCGTGCTCCAACTGTGTGCGGGCCAAGATCGAATGCATATTCCCAGGACCCGGCCGCGCCCCCCGCAAGAGCAGGAAGCCGTCCGACGCAGAGTTGCTCGAGAGGCTGCGACGCCTCGAGGGTGTCGTCATCAGCCTGAATGCCCAGGTCGAGGGCCATGAACACGACGCAGCAGACCGCGACAAGCAGCGCCAGAGCAGCGCCGGCCTCGACAATCGCCTGTACCACAAGACGGCGGCCGGGCCTACTGCACAGGACGGCGACCATGGCGCCATCAACGACAATGTAGATGGCCTGGAGAGCCGCTTTGGACGACTCGTCATAGAAAAGGGCCGCAGTCGCTACATCAACAATAGCTTCTGGGCAAGCCTGAACAATGAGGTCCGCCTACACGCTTCCGCCCTGGCCCCGACCAGCTGACACGGCCACAGGTCGAAGATCTCAAAACAATCCTCATTGAGCCCTCTGAAGACGAGGACGATGCGCATTCGCCCGAATCCATCAACACGTCCTTGCACTACCCAGGCTTCATCTTTGGCTTCAGCTCCTCCAGTGTCGACATCCAAGCACTGCATCCTCCCGAACACCAAGCCCGTCGGCTCTGGGACGTCTTCAAGGACAATGTAGAATCCCTGGTCAAAGTCTTGCACGTCCCTTCAATGGAACCCACCATTTTGAGTGCTTTTGCCAATATTGATAAAGTTGCCAAGGGCCTGGAGACTCTGCTGTTTGCAATCTACTATGGCGCCGTGACCAGTACTCCCAACGAAGACTGTCTACAGCAATGGGGTGAAGAACGAAGCGTGCTCCTTAGCAGGTATCGCTTTGGTCTGGAACAAGCTCTGGCAAGAGCAAACTTTCTGTACTGCGATGAGATGATCATACTGCAGGCCTTTGCCATTTTTCTTGTCGTGCTACGCCGCAACGACGATGCGCGCAAGATATGGACAATGATGGGTCTAGTCGTCCGAATGGCGCAAGCGCTTGGCATCCACCGAGATGGCACTTACTTTGGCTTGTCGCCATTCGAGACTGAAATGCGAAGACGGCTTTGGTGGCAAGTCTGTATTTTGGATGCAAGATCCTCCGAAGACCATGGCTGTGATCCCACCATTGCCGAGGCATTGTTCGACACCAAAATGGTCTGTTGAGTGAGCCACAAAGTCACATGGTTACGTACTAATGAGTGTCGCAGCCCCTCAATATCAATGATGCCGATATTAATCCTGACATGACTGAGTTTCCTCCCGAGCGCCAAGGCTTCACCGACATGACTTTCTGCTTACTCCGCTTCGAGATCACGGATATGATGCGTCGCATTACATACGCACCTACGGCCGTGAACAAGTGCAATGAGCATTTTGCCCATCTTAGCATTAAAGAGAAGGAAGAATGGATTACGGAGTGCCACCAGGCCCTCGAGGTAAAGTACTTGAAAGATTGCGACATGACGATGCCAATGTGTTGGGTCTCGGCAACAGTAGCAAGATTGATTGTGAGTAAGGTGTGGTTGATCATTTATCACCCACATCAGCGCAAGGATGGAGGTTGGTGTGTCCTGGATTCTTTGCATGAGCCAGCCATTGACTTTAGTGCAGGCGCTACACTACCACAGGAAACCAGAGACAAGCTCTTCATAACGTCGCTCGAGAGTCTGGAATACGGCGTACTGCTCGAAACCGAGGCCCGCACTATGAAATGGGGCTGGCTATTTAGGACGTACGTTCAATGGCACGCCATCGCATTCTTGCTATCGGAACTGTGTGTTCGCACCAAAGGCGAGGCTGTAGAGCGTGCATGGAGAGCATTGGAAGCCTCTGCCAGTCGGTGGTTCCCCTTCACCCAAAGCTCCTCACACCGCAAAGACAGCATGGGCAATATCGGCACTCTGTGGAGACCGCTTGGGAAATTACTCGAGAAAGCAAAGGCAGCCCGTGAGCGCGAACTCGTGCTTGAACGGGCGTCTATAGCCTTGCGAAGTGGGCCATATCCGGCCAACGCATTCGCCTTTGAACACTACAAGCATATGCAACAACAGAGCAAAATACCGCTCATGGCATCGAATCAGCAGACCATGCAAGCTGTCGATGGCATGCTTCAAGGCCCTGTACCCAAAGTTGGTGATTTACCCAGTAGTAGGCTTCCGGGTTGGCCCAACAGTCCTGGTCAGTCGCAATGGGGCAAAGTGTCGATGCAGAGCACTTGGGGCTTGCAAATGCAGCACAGTCTACCAAACGGGGCTGTGAGTGGAGTGCCGAATGGTAGTGGAGAAGTGGATAGCCAGGGCCAGGACTTTGGGCGCCTGCTTGAGTACCAGCGTCTTGACGATGTTCTTGGCCATGTCATGGAAGATGGATCGCTCAGCTTCGAGGACGAGACTAAAGCGACTAGATGCGCAACCAATGTATCGCCCACGATGACTTCGCCGACATGTGGGCATATGCCGACCACTCAAGTGCTTGCTCCAAATAATGCATCAACGGCTGCGGGCGGATACCCACCTTTTGACGAGACTGCGTTTGTAAATACGAACATGGACTGGGGCATTTGCACTGATGGTGCTCAGGGAATGGCAAGTCCGAACGGGAAGGCACAAGACGGTGGGGGGGGAAATGAGGTAATGGAGAATGGCGAGATGGACTGGACACTCTGGGACGACATGGTCAACCAGTTTGGGATCGAGGGGAATGCGGCGAATCCTGGCAGTTCAGGCGGGCCAGGGCCACTTGGCATGGTGCATTGGTTGTAGTAGGCAGTTCAAGGCTTTGGTTCATGTGTCTGTATGCGTTTGACACGGCGTTTGGACATGGCTCCGCTGGGTGTTGTCGAAGAGGAATACCCCCGTTGGGAACTTGTATTATACGATTATACATACATGCAGAAGGCTCGTCTGGTTTTGGCCGAGTGGTGCGGCGTGGGGCATTCATTCATGCCGAACGCAAAGGGCTCGCTCGACTTGGATACTTGGGCTGATGTCAGCCCGAGGTTATGTGTATAGAGCCAAGCATGTCGTCGCCGCAAGCACACCACGTGGACCATTTGATTGCGTAGTCCAGGTCCGGGTTGCGGCTTGCAAGCCGGCCTTGTCACCGACCTTATCTTTTGGCGGCGTTGCTGGCTTTGCTTGGCCTTGTTGCCCCACGTAAGTACTTCGTTGGGCGCACGCATGCATGCCACGCCCTCGTTCTTCTTCGTGCGTGCCAAGCCAAACACACCAGGAAAATCAACGCCGACTTGCTCAGCCTCTGTTTGTTTCCTTGTCCAGTCAGTCTACCGATCGTTGTGCAACCTCAATACCCTCCTACTGGTGCCGTGTGTGTATGTGTGTGTGTGTGTGTGTGGCAGGGACCAAGACTGCAGGGCGGGCACATACATACATAGATATATGTCAGCGGTACGTACCCGACACACCGGCTCCAAATTGCATATGACGATTATATAAGTCGACCTGCATATGCGTGCTACGATGCATCCCGGCGGAAACAACGATGCTACGAGGTGTGGTTTGAAAGACACAGACAGCGAGAGGAGAGCGTGATACCTGCAATCATCGCTTTCCACTCAAGTACTCAAGTACTGTACCCAGACATACTTGGCCACTTTTCCCGTTGCCTGTGTCTTTGATACCTACCCGCCATCTCCCGACGTGTTTTTTCATGGTCCCAGATCAAAGTATCTTTCGCAAACTCTTTGGAACTGTCATTAACCATACACAGCAAAAAGGGCGCCAAGATAGATATACGCCATGACTTCAGCGACACCACCCGAGGGCTCGATATCATCCAAGCCTACCATTCTGCATCTAGGCGACGACATCCGATGGAACCATGACCTGTACGCAGAGCTACAGAGCAAGTTCCACATTGTACGCACCTACTCCATGGCAAGACAAGACTTTATCCACGCCTTGCGAGACAAGCGGTGGGGCGACTTTGTAGGCATGTACCGCCCGTTTTGGAACACCGGGGGTGAAATGGGCAATTGGGATGAAGAACTCATGTATGTTTTTTTTTGGTATTTTTTTCCTCTTACACCTTCACAGTATCTGACAATGTCACAGTTCTCTCCTCCCGTCATCCTGTAAAATCTACGCTTCCGCTGGCGCAGGCTTCGACTGGGTCGATACGCGCACCCTCGCCCAACATGGAACCATATACTGTAACTCGGCGTCTGCTTGTACCGAATCCGTCGCCGACGCCGCCATTGTCCTGATTCTCTCCTGCTACCGCGCCATACCCTGGTCTTTTCTCGCCGCCCGCTCCCTTTCGCCTGACGCCTTTTCAAACGCAAACCGCAACATTGGTGCCGTCACGCACAATCCCAATGGCAGCATACTGGGCATTATTGGCCTGGGACGAATTGGAATGCGCATTGCCGAGAAAGCCACGCGAGCATTTGAAATGCGCGTTGCCTACTATGATGTTGTGCGCATGCCCGAGGAGAGGGAGAAGAGCGTCGGCGCAACCTATTGTGCTACGCTGCCAGAGTTACTAGCCATGTCGGATTGCGTCCTGGTTGCTACGCCATTCAATGGCGAGACGCTGCTGTCTACGGCCCAGTTCCAGCAGTTCAAGCACGGCGCGCGTCTGGTGAATATCGCAAGGGGCAAATTGATAGATGAGGAGGCGCTGAACAAGGCCATGGATGATGGAACCGTTTCTGCCGCTGGCCTCGATGTGCATGCCAATGAGCCGCATGTGAACCCCAGGTTAGCGACGAGGGACAACGTCATGGTCTTGAGTCATACGGCGGGTGCGAGCGTCGAGAGCCACGTGGGGTTTGAGCGGTTGGGAATGGAAAATTTGCTTGGGTGGCTGAAGCATGGGGAGAAGGGGTGTGTGAGTGCCGTGAATTTGCACTGGTTGAAGAGAGATTAGGCGGCGACATGTTGGTATTCACCAGCATCACCATGTTCAATGGGCTGTCAAGGTACACAACGAGAATGTAGTATGTTTTGAAGTTGATGACTCGCATGATTGCATTCCTTGCTCCAAGCCAACAAACGAGGAAACACCAGCTCCACCGTAGGTGTATCGTGTGTCAGCTGATGGCAAGAAGTGCGAGCATGGGGCCTACCATGACTTACCATGGTTCTATCCAACACGGTCATCACCCCTCTTGTTAGCCTAGGTGTACTCGCCACACTAGTTTCCAGGAGCCACCGCACGCCATTAGAACGACGTGACTCGGGGAGGTAAGAGTAGGATTTTGGCCCCCGTTTTTTGTTATCGAGGAAACAGCCGAAGCCAAAAACCCCCGCTCGACATGTACACAATTAGCAAACAACGATATAGGGACCCACATCAAATGCTGCATCGGCGGCGCCTTTCGTCTGTCGGCCCCCCTTGCACGTGTCGCAGGCTTGGTGCCTTTTGTTGTCTATCACCGACCCGGCAGAAATCGCTCGACAGCTCCAAGGCCGTGGGCCCTGATTGAAGTGCGGCTGTCGGTTTCTCTTCGCTCGCATGGTCGTGGCGTGTGTAAGCATTCTCCTCCGAATCCGGAGGGGAATAAAGACCCCAGTCTCGACGCTTCGCTCGCTTATGCGGAGGGGGTCCTGCAATTTGGTTTAATAACCCAGTAATCGAGTTTGGAACGCGGACTAAGAAGTGTGTGTAGATGGTCTTGATTAAAACCAACCGTCTGCGCTGTCGTCCGAGTCACTCCCTGGAGAGTCTCGACTTCGACGACGATCCTCTGGTAGGTCATTGTCGAGCGAGTCTTCGATTTTGTCTCGAATTCCCACTCCTGGACCATCGTCATCGTCGTCGTTGTCGAACTCCTCCTCCTTCCACCCAGCTGCTCCAGACATTGCTAGCACACGCTGAAGGTGCCACTGCAATTCAAGCAGGCCCGGGTCCGGGAGGGGTCTTTCCTTGGGGTCATCGGTCGATAGCGCAAACCTGGTGCCGCTAACTAGTAGAACTGAATCATGGTCGTTGGTGGGATTGATTCGAAAAAATGGGCCATAGCCCTTGCCAGATGACCGCCGGTCGTAGGAAGGCTTAGGCTCCACAAAGAGGTTTACCCTTTTACTTGACTCGCGCTCCTCCAGAACAAGCCAGTGGAACTCGAGTTCGAGTTGAGTTTTGTCTTCTGACATTTGTACTGGTCGGAGTGCAAAGACACCCTTGGTATGAAAGCGGTGTAGGGTAGACGTTAGTGTGAGCATGTTTTCGACCGTCTCGGTCCCTTTGTTCTCGTTCGGATCCACAAAGATCTTTCCACGCCATGCTTCTACCAATTTGCTTGGCCAGAACATCCCCAGAACTTTCCAAAAGTCTTTAACTCGCTCACCATTTTCCCCTCCAAATGCGCACCATGGGTAAACATGGGCAGCATCGGTCGCTCCCATCCTCGAAACCACGCAAAGGTTGCCGTCCCTCTTCTTGCAGCGTGCTGCAACGTCTGGCGACCGTGCAGGGGAAGATTCTCTACTGCCGTGTTTTCGCTTCGACCTAGTACGCGACGTACTAGTCTGCGGTGACATTGTGCGAAGAGGGGAGGATGGGACTTGGTTGAAGGGGGTGAACCGTGACGAGGTTGGCGATGTAGCATTTGAAGCGGTCATGGTCGTTGCCGCTGATTTCTGTTGCCAGAGGCGGACGACGTCTACTGTTTTAGGTTCGAACCAGGAATCTTCGTCCGCGAAGCATTTCCACAGCGACTCGGACTGTACAATTTCTCTGATCTTCTCCAAATTGGCAATCTGAAAGAACGCCCATGAGACTGGAGGGAGATCTATTCGGCGTCCGAGATCTCGTGCTTGTTCGAACAATTGTCGGCGCTCATCAGAGCGCTGGGTAAAACGTTCGTTGTCGTCCTCTGGCCTTACATCCTTCCAGCTTGGGATGACAAGATCCATCGTTGTGAGTTAGTGTGTACAGCTAGAAATGTGGTAAAAGCTGTTGTGAATGATAAAAAAATGCGGGACTGTCATGTTAGCTGCACATTTTTCAACAGTGTTGAGGGTGAAGGGGGTTTACTCACAGTTGTCGAGATACTTGCCGTCCTGGGTGAAAGAAGAAGAAGAAGCAGAAGAATCAAGACAGGATCAGTATTTACCTTGACCTTGACTGTGCCTACCACATAATTATGAATGAAGGAAGGCCCATAGGGCAGAACCAAGAAGCAACTTCCGTTCTATTGATAGGTTAGGAATGGATCTATGGTGCAGAACCATGGATACGGTCTAGGTTTCAACCACATTCCAGAGCCCTCAGCGTATTAATGCTTGGATTAATCCTTGCCAGGTAGAAAACCAGCAGGCACTCGGTAGAGGTTTGTCTAGCTACTTCTCCATGCGGCGGTGCTCGTGCCACGAGAGGTTTGGCATTATAGATTTTGTGACGCGGTATCTTATTCCAGCGATGACGGCTGATATAATTGGTGTGGGCTATCTGATTGCTATTCGGCATTGATGAATTCCCATACCACGCCATCAGATAGCTTGTTACCAGTCCTTGCCAGCTTTTGGAGTCCCTTTTCAGGACTGAGCACTATAGGGCGTAGGACCCACCAATCGAGCATTTGCATAATGTAGCCTCCCTTTGGGACTGGGGTGAGAGTAAGATGCCTCCAACCGTCACGCTCTTCTGCGGTACACTTCAATCTCCCGTCCCACCCGTGGCATATAAACTTGTTGGAACTGCAATTTCGAAATCCAAGCCAGCCCTCGCGCTCGACACATGACCAATGGATGGAGCCGCGACTGCCGATGGGAGCCAGGACGACGCTCCCGTCAAGCAGTGTTAATACATTTTCGCTTGAGACGGCACGAATGATGACGGTGGAGCCATGCGAAGGGACCCAAGTGCCCGACCTTTGGCCTTGGGTAGGGTCGGCGAGAGTATGTTCCGAGGTTGCAGCAGGGGTAAAGACGCTGCAATTGTCCATGTTTGAGAGGGACGCATCGCTCGACTGGCAGTACTCGGATGACATGCTGGGTGCTCGAAGGACGGTTCCTGTTCTGGATGGGGAAGCGGGCCCGTCCATGTCGTTGTGGATGGCGTCGGTGGATGCTGGCATTATGCGGGGTAAAGAAAGACCGAGGCCCCGACGGCTATTCCGTTTTGGGACAGCATGCAGCTCTCTCCCGCGTGGCCATGACGCTCAGCACGGCACGGCAAAAGCGTGACGAACTTGGAAGAAGAAGAAGAAGAACGACTTATGCTGAGTTACAATGTCTACATGTCTAAATATAGCCTACCAAATACTAAGCAGTCTGGCACTCGCCGTGCCTGATAGCACACCGACTTGTCATGTTGCGAAGCGAGTACAGGAGGATTTGTTGATTATACTATGTTGATGATTGTGTCGGGTGTCTCTGCCCCATAGAAATGCATGTGTAAGCCCGCTAGACTGGGTGCACAACTAGGACCCATGCACGTCGAGAATCAAGCAGCCAACGGTCAAATGCTTAGGCACACGAGCCGTATCTTGTGCCGGCCATGCCCCCTGATATGGCAGCCCACCGGCTCTGATGCCCCACCATCGTATCCACCGTCCAGAGCGCGAACGGCCAAGTGCGACCTCTTTCGAGCAGCGCGATAAGACCGCGTGATAACCCGATAGCGACGTTTAAAATGCTCCATGGTGGCGACCAAGTTGCTGGAACCTGCTCGCTTGGTCGTTCGCAGAGAGTCTTCTTTGTTGCGTGCCCCATTGTCGACCCAACATGGCGAGTTCCAAGAGAAGCGACACGGTCGTGGCCGCCGCCGTGCACAAGAGCGATGAGCATTCCATGACCGACGACGAGAGGCGGCTGGCCGAGATGGGTACCGAGTGCAGCTGCATGGCCGCTGGAGCAATTCACTAATGTACCTGCAGGCCACATCCAGGAGCTGGAGCGGCATTTCTCCAAACTCTCGCTGATAGGCCTCGCTTCGACGACGACCATATCCTGGACCGGACTCGGTTTGGGCATTGTCACCGAGATCAATGCTGGAGGCCCGGGAGCCATCATCTATGGATTCATACTCGTCACCATCCTGCAATGCTTCCTCGGTGCTTCTCTTGCAGAGTTTGTCTCGAGCTATCCTACCGAGGGTGGCAGTAAGTGGCATGGTGAAGAGCTGCATGATGAATTCTGACCAGGCCTGCAGTGTACCACTGGATTGCTGCTGTTGCGCCTAGAAAACAGGCACTGTTCTTGAGTTTTCTCACGGGCTGGTTCACAGTCTGCGGATGTAAGCTGCTGCCCATGGTATTTAGCCCACGTGTGCTGACCTGATTTCCTTGCCAGGGATTTTCACCACGGCATCCACCAACCTCATCTATGCCCAGACACTGGGTGCGCTGATTGCCCTCTACCACCCGAACATGACGGTCAAGACTTGGGAAATCTTTGTCATCTACCAAGGTCTGAATTTGTTGACTGCCTCGGTTGTCCTTTTTGGCAACAAGGTGATTCCAAGTCTCAACAGATTCTCTCTCTTTTATTTGCAGATTGGCTGGCTGGTTGTGCTCGTCACTGTTGTGGCTTGTGCACCAACATACCAGAGCCCTGAGTTCGTCTTCCGTACCTGGATCAACAATACGGGCTGGGAAAACAACGTCATCGCCTTTGCCGTGGGTCTCGTTAATCCATTGTACAGTCTTGGTGGGCTTGATGGAGGTGAGCAGTCATGCACACGTGCCTTTTGATTCTCGGCTGACCGACTTTACTTAGTGACACACATTACGGAAGAAATGCCCAATGTAAGTCACTGCATGGCAGGCTCTGATTGATGTGCATCAGCAAGACTGACTAGACATCAGCCATCACGCAACGCGCCTCTGGCCATAGCTATTACCCTCACCATCGCATTCTGTACCGGCATCAGCTACCTGATCGGGCTCATGTCCAGCGTACAAGACTACGCTGCGCTTGCTACCACCAACACTGGGCTCCCTCTGGCCGAGCTCTTTCGCCAGGCGACACAATCGGCGGGCGGTGCTTTTGGGCTTACCTTTATCCTCTTCATCGCACTGGGCCCATGCGTCATATCGTCGCAGCTTTCCACGTCGCGCGTCTTGTGGGCGTTTGCGCGAGACGGCGCCATGCCTTGGTCAGCGACATGGGCACGCGTCAGCTCGCGGTTTGGCATCCCATTCAACTCGCAACTGCTCGTGGCAGCAGCAAATGCAGCGCTGGGATGTCTCTACCTGGGCAGCTCGACGGCTTTCAACGCCATGCTGGGGTCTGCCGTCACGGTCAATAACATTGCCTACTACATCCCCATCTTGACCAACCTGTTGACGGGCAGGCGCAACATGTACAAGGGCGCCTTTCACATGGGCAGTTTGGGCTTCGTCGTCAACATTGTCACCATTTGCTGGCTTACCTTTGCCATTGTCTTCTTCAGCTTCCCGTACTCGATGCCTGTTGAGGCGGCCAACATGAACTACACGTGCGTCGTGGTTGGCTCGCTGCCATTTCTGATTATTGGCTGGTGGTTCTGGATCAAGCCGACGTACAAGGACAAGATGGCGCGGACTGGTAGATGGGATTGATTGGGAGATTGTGCAGGTCGGAGGGGAGGCGGGACGGGGGTTGTGTAGATGGAGAAGAACAGAATGGAAGTTGTTGCCGACTCGAGTATGCTTGAGCATGGGATGGGAGGTGGTGAGGCTGCAGTATGGCGGACTAATGCTGGTTGGTGGTTGGGTAAGTACTTGTGATAGAAAGGTCCGAGCGCCGCACAACCCACCCATGACAGCATGCATCGTCAGCCTTGACTGCGCAACCACATCAAATGAATTGAGCCGCCACATCACGCGAATAGAGCCGCCATGGACCCCAGCATCAAGCTCACACGCGCCCTCGCGCGGCGCTCCATGCGGCCATGTCGCCGTGACGCCAGCTTGACATGGCCAGGCCGAGCGCGATGCTTCCACGACACGCGCCCCGCCCTTGTTCAGCCCAGACGCCCCAAATCGCGCGACCGAGGGCCCAAGAGCAGCGAAGACACGCAGACCGACTTTGGCGCCTTGGACATGCTGCGCAACACAGTCGCCCCGGCAACCTCCATCGACGCCTGCACAGCCGATGGCTTCGCGCTGAACAACCAGATGCGCATCAGCGGCACCGGCGTCCTGCTCGTGGGCGGCGAAGCATACCGCTGGCGGCCATGGCATGGCGCCGCGACGGGAGCATTGCTGAATGCAAAGAGGCAGTGGGAGGTGCCAGAGGGCGCCTGGGGCATACTGGAGCTGGTATATCCGAAGCCCGGTACGCACAAGTCTCGCAATCTATGCCCCTTGGCAAGAAAGAGAGAGAGAGAGAGGCTGACAAAGAATTGGCTAGACCTCCTCATCATCGGCACCGGTCCCCATACCACGCCCATTGCGCCTGCGGTTCGCAAATACCTCAACGACCTGGGCATCCGGCTCGAGATCCAGGACACCAGGAACGCGGCAGCCCAATTCAATCTGCTTGCAACGGAGCGCGGAGTCGGCCAGGTTGCTGCGGCACTGATACCGGTTGGGTGGAGACAAGGGCGCTGAGTATGCATACATACCATCAGAGAGCCGCACAACTTGTTGGATGCGCGCCGCCAGGCCCGCAGTCGCCAAACCCAGACATCTAGTACAATACATACATGACGACACTGCCGAGGCCAACACGTATGCCTGAGTACCCTCCACTGTACTCTGAACCTCCACCACCAAAGGCAATCATTGTTGCATACACGGGGGTTCAATAATGCACGATAACATCAGAGGAAAACATGCAAGGAAAAGAGAATCGGCGCAAGCCACAGCAATGCCAAGTCACTACCTCAATCGAGTTCCAACACGGCAGAATAGTAAAGCTTTCCTCACTGCACCGCGAATTCAGCACCGTCCCCTCTTCCTACAAGCCTAGCCCTAAGGTCCCCCTTTCCACTCTTGCTCAGCTGATCTAACAGCGTAGAGTCATCTGTCAGGCTTGCCCCAGCCATATACTCTCTAACCTTCTGCGACTCAGCAACCTGCACAAACGCCGACCAAGTATTTCCCACGAGGGTAAACTTGGTCTTGGTGACAAATAACACCACCAGCAGCGCCACAAGAGAGAAATGCGCCACAAGTGTCCATAAAAATATCATGAGGCCCGCGTAGCTGCGCGGATAGAGAACGTTGTCAAACAAAGATACGACAACAGTGTCGACGCGGTCAAATGCAGCCTGTTGACTGTAATAGTTGGTCATGGAAAGGACGGTAATGAGACAAGACAGCGCCCATTCCACCGAGAAGCCAGCTTCCATGGCGCCTGTAAAAATAGCGGCGAGTGCAGGGTCGGCTGAAATGACCTTGGTAGGGCGTGGATCGAAGCTGCGAAGGTGCGTAACTAGAGGCGTCCCAGTGAGGAAGACTGACCAGTTCCCTGGCAGCGGTACGTTCGTCCCCCTAACGGACGCTGAACTGCCCCCCATATCGCTTTGTACAATCGGGCGCCGGTACGGCGGTGGCAGGTCCCCCAGGAAACTATGCGGCTTTTGCATTTCCATGATCTGGCGTGTGCCATTCTTGGCCATGGGCATCAGGTGGGTGAGCACGTCTGATGGCTCAAAGTCTCTCCAGTACCGGAGCAACGGCTCTGTCCTATTGAACCCACTGTGAAGTCTAACATCAAGGATTGCAGCATCCCATGGTGCAAAGCATAGACTAAGGGAGATTGAGGCTTCGTCCGTTGTGTTGGTCTTCGGAAAAGTGATATTCTGCCATCCCTTTTCTGCAGCTGTGTCACTCGAACCTTTGATCACAAGGAAAGCGGTTCCAAATGCTGTCGATTTTTCGAACTGGCTTTTAAGGGACCCCATGAAGTCGTCGCCTGATCGACCTAGTTGACATATTGTGGTTTGACCTACTCCAGCTACTGTGCAGTTGAAAGGCGTTGGTATGATGGACTGCAGCATTGTTGCATTCATGCTAGGTGATACAACGCCTGCCATCTGACTGTTGAGCCCTTTTCCCTGGAAGTCAGTGATTGTGGGTGCCTGGCAAGCTACTCGAGCATCGACTGTCAAAGCGTTTCCCGTGTATGTCGCTAGACTCTGACGCAACCCGGGAGATGAATATGGCAGAAATGCTCGAAGCAACATGCCAGTATCTACCATTCCCTCGACAGTCTCAGAAGGCCGTTCGTGGTATTCACCAAACGTCGCGTAATTGGGCGGATTAGTGGTCCATGCAGAGTCACGGGCTATCCTCTCTGGGTATTCAATAGGATAAGATAAGCCAGGCCGCACTTCGGAAGCAGTCCTAGCACCAATCATTGGGCCGAGTTTTAAGTCTGAAAGCAGCAATGTTGATGAAAACTGGAGGACACTGGTAGTGATGAGCAAGAAAGTAGCCATGGCGTATACCCGATGATTCTGTCGTGACCGTGCAGTCGATCTCCAAAACTCTTCAAACACGCAACGTGCCAGTGTCCAAGGACCTGTACTCCCTGTCCTGATATTGGATATGCTCGCAGTCTCATAAACGTGTATTCCCGGCGTTGATTCCAGAAGCAGAGAGGCGAGAACAGCGCAAGCAAAAGCGGCTTGTAAGTCCACACAAGTCCTTACCACCAGGGCTGTCACGGCTACGCAGCGTGTAGCCCAACCTTCAACCATGATGTGCTTCCAAGTTTGATTCTTGCTGTCGCTGAACCACAAAAACATTAAGAACGCGCACATTGCGAGTACGGCGAGGGTGCTGGCAAGAAGAGCAAGAATGGACCTTGAGCCAAGCCGCTGAAGATCATCTTTTGCTGGAGTAGCTGACGTTTCGGTGATGGATGCATTGGCATCAGGTTTCGTTGAATCTACAGCGTTGGCAGATGAGTGCATACTATCTTTCGGTCAGCAGTCAACTGCTAGATAGTGTAGCTTTACTTACCGCTCTACCCGCACATAAACATGCTCACCACGACTGGATAATCTTCTCCAGCTCAGCCAAAGTGCGACGAAAGCACACAATGCCACCATGACGGCTATAGCTATGGCGGGAAATATGATATCTCCTGAACGACCGAATCCAAGTCCACTGTATACAAGCCCGGATGTCATTGCGGGTCCATGGGCGACTGCTACCGACGAGGTGGTGACTGGGGCAACACCTATATTGTTGATACTCGGATCTCCGAACAACTCGATTTGTTCTGGTCGTTTGATCAAAGCAGGAGTCAAATCACCAGCCGGGCAGCCATCATTACAGGCGTTACTCTTACAGCAACCAAAGAAGGCTGCTTCCTGGGTAGGTAGAGCGCACGAGTAGAAATTGGCACCCAATGTGCAGTCCATGTCGGGAAAGACGCCATGAATGCTTCGGTCGTAGTGAACAGGGTAGAGATGCTGTATTGGACATATATCGCTACAGGGGTTCACGGCACAGCAGCCAGCGAACAACGTGCCAGTCGAACATGCGTACCAGTCCCCGCCTGATGGACACCAAATAGATTGGTTTCTCGCCATAATCGTAGTAGGAGCCGTAAGTTAAAAGTACAGAGAACAACTATGAATGATGAAAGAGTAGGAGAGCGAAATAATGGAAACATCCTGAACAGTTCAAGGACCAGCATTTAGCTCGTTTCTGCATGCAAGTCTGTGGTGCCGCCAAGAGCGGGGCGATAGGTCCAGATTTCAGCCGCAAGACGCCACCTGAGACCACTTTGAAGCCTATTCTCGGTTTTGCTATCTATAGTATGCCTAGGAACTTTGAAACAAATAAGAATTTGTAACACAATTGGTGGGCTGTGTAAAAGGGTGTGAGAGGGGTACGTATAAATATTGGTAGGCTGAAGAACAAGGATTGATGCAGTGTACGTCTCAAAAAGCGAGTCCATCATCTATAATGGGGAGTCTCCATGTCCATACCAGCCATACGCAATGCATTGATAATAGACAATAGTGCAGATGCAGGGCGAGGTTATCAAAATCCACTGCAGTATGTATCTATAGGCATAAGATGGGTAGCCCTACTGCGTCAAGAGTGTATTAGAGCAAATGGTTGATTTAATCGATACACGAAATAGCCTACTTGCTAAGTTGCGCACTGTTTTGACCAGGTATAAACATGTTTGCCACTGTCATCGACTGTGAGCTGTTCCTGAATGCTGCGGCAAGGAGACGCTCTCGAACTCTGGAAATTTGTAGGTTATTTTGTGAACCCGGAACTACTACCTAAATGTCACTGGCTCTTACCAGTGCAACTTTGAGTCGAGCATTCACTGTAGTAACAGAATACAAACTATGTGACGTCACGTGACCGTAGCGGGCCACCAAGCTTCACCTTTTTCTACCTCTGACCCTGATAGCGCATCGTATTTCCTAAAGATGAAATTGGAAATAACTTTCTGTAAAACCATTTACCTGGCTTGATGAATCCCTATCAATACTGATACTACCACTTCAGCTGCAAGCTAACTCTGACCCTCCCTAAACTTTTAGGCCCCATAAAATCGCTGATGACATTCGATATCCAGTAAAGCCTGTGGGAATAGGCATTGAAAATTGAGGCTTATAATGGATAGCTGAGATGAATGGAAAATGCCTATTATATACGAACTGCTTTGATTTTTCTGAACAGATGTCTGGAAAACACTGGGGATGGTGGAGTGATAGTAGGGCGGCACTCCAAATTCTTAGTTCTGTATTATCATGTTCCACCTTTTGAGGAAGAAAGGAGAAGTTGTCTTTCATCCTGAACAGGATCATCGACGCCTTTCGCACCGAACAAACGTGCTATTTTAAGAAAAAATCAATCATAGGTCAACATCCCACCATCTTGAGAGTTGAAGAACTGATTCGCACATTTTTCTTCAAGAACTGCCAATTCACTAAGATAGCCTGTGAGTCTTGCTGTATAGTGGCAACGTTGGAACTGCCAAGATTCAATGCTCGACCCGAATGACAAAGGCTCTCCTTTCTGTGCCTGGACAGCAGTATAAATGACAAAGCCGAGAAATGTGTTCATGGAGGCATTCTCAGTGGTATCATTGATTGATGCTGGAAGATTACATTCCAAGATGTTTCCTTGTGCTCTTCACACAAAGAACGTACCTTGTCCTCCTGGAGATATTAGAAATTAGGCTTGAGGTGACGGGGCTAAGGATCAGTTTCAACAAGTGGAGTATGCACCCGACCATTGTGTGCACCGCCGTTCTTGCCACCTCTCTGAATCAATATGCGCCTTGGTTTGATACCAGCAAGAGGCAGAGAATCCAAAAAGGTTTCAAAAGGTGGTACATTGGCCTTAACAAGGTCCTCAGCCATAGTGGGGTCCATTGCTGACTGATCGGATTTGGACTTCAGGTATGCGTAACAGAAGACATATTCAGCCTTGACACCCGCTTCACGAAGTGATTGCGCAATCTCTTCGGCAGACAAACTGGGATCGATTGGAATATGTTGTACGCATGCCCGTTGCTCTCCTGTGAAGAATGATAGTCATCTTTCTGGTAGTGGACTCCGAGACAATGCATAAACTTTTACCCAAAGAACCGGTGTGTCTGGTAGTGCTCGAATGGTGTGGAAGCCAGAAATTCTCGATGCATCGCCAACTATGGCTTTGAGGCCCTTAACATTGGGGTCAAAGGTAGGCAGGTTACAGTAGATGCCAGATTGGCGAAGAGAATATTGAGAACAACTCGTCATATCGTAATGTACGCGGATTGCAAAGCATCAAGACAATTGCAGGCGGATGAGATAAGCGGATGTTGGCCCGTAGTTGTACAACCAGATTATGGAAATGCAACAAAACTCTGGGCGAGTACATATGAAGCTAGATCTCAAATGACGGCACGATACATATATGCAGTTATTCCATACCGATAATGACTCTCTTCCAACCAATAATTTTCGGGATGGCGGACGAGGCTTAGGCGTAGCTTCACTAAAGTTCGCACTGTTACTTGAGCTTTGACTGCTAGATTGCAGCCCCAGCGTACAATTGCCATGAAGGGACATGCCTGTAGATGCGTTCAATCTTCTTCTATCCTGAATGCACACTCGGTCATGGTGGCATACGTTGTGCTTGTCACGTAGACTTTGAACTACAAGTGATGATAAGAAATATTATCACATTGGCCCGCCCGGTTTGCGCTCGTGCAAAAAGAAAAGCTGTTCATAAAGCTCAAGCATTGATCAATGTAAATGAGCAACAGAAGATGCTCTTGTCACAATGGTAAAAGCAGCTATCTAGCAATACCCGAATGAGGTCATCATGAAGTGAGAGAGGTTTAGCGTTGCACTCAAAGTCGCCTATGCACAAATGTCAGAGCTTGGAAGCCCATGAAAGTGTACATTGCGGGCTGTTAAACATGCTAGGGGCTAAGACCATGACCCAGTTGTACACAGAGTCACCAGAGCAGCTACCAGTATAATGAATGTGACTTTGTGACATGCTGTGTGACGTGCTTCAATAAAAGCCCTGTTTTGCTATCATGTTAGTAAAAGCTCACTATCGTACTAGAAAAAAGATACCTGGCTTATATTTCATACGATCAAAATAGGAAACAAACAGTAAAAGCATGTTTCAGTGCACATGAATATTTTCAATGGCTTGAAGTCTCTACCAAGTAATTGTTGTGAAGATGATTTTCCACAATCATACAACAGCGAGATTTATTCAAAGCTAGAGAACGAAACAACCCTTGTAGTTGTAAGTCCTTCTCACATTGTTAGCGGATTGATCACTACATATCAAAGCAATGTTAATCTAGCACGTACATACAATAGTCATGTCTTAATATAAAGAAAGCATGATCTGATGAGTTAATCCACTACCTGATGCATGTTGTAGGCTGTTCCTCTAATAGGAATATTGTGTTGTTTCTTCACTAGGCTAGTTAGCAGCTAGGCTAGCAGCTGAAACATGACTTTGCAGCTGGAATAAATAGTATAGCAACAAATCACCAACTTCGAGTTTTCTAGAAACCGCTAGGAAAGCACGCTATCTAGGAGAACCGACCACGAGGAATCGACTAACAGCACTTTCAACACCTGCAGCTAAGGCGCTAGCGCGCAGTAGGGAGAAGAAGGAGGCCTTCCTTCGTTATCTCACGCCTGTGAGAATTTTCTCACAGAGCTTGGGCTCTAATGCCAAGACTAGAGGGGCCAATAGGAACGCAGGAGCTTATTAAAGCTCAAATTCAGCAAGAAACACAGACATATCAAAACAAT